TTATGGCTCCAGGTACGGGAGAGGGAAGGATGTGTAGTCCTGCACTGAGCAGCGGATTGGACTCCATGGCCTTAGAGGCCCCTTCCAACATCATGAGTCTATGATTCTGTACAGTAGGGCCCTTGTATGCACAGATCAGTTCCAAACCACCAACCGTTGATGATGCTGAAAGATGCAGAACATTATTTTAATTGTGAATGCTGTACATTCTCTGGCTCCTTCTAGTGGCCAGTTCTGGTAATGACATAATAAAAATGTACGGTATTTCTCTAGCAAACACTGTACATAAGCATGGTCTTTGTCTCCCTCTTCTGGCCAATTCTGATAACTTTGTCATTTAAAAATATATATTTGGGGAGATTTTTCTTTAAATGTTTTTAATATTTTCAGACCGTAAATAAATAAATCAGCAGATACTGATGCTGTGGATATGGCACTGTACGCAGTAGTACTCCCGGTTTTGAGTCAGGTTTAGCATGCTTTAAATAAATGTTTAAATTTCTTTTTACACCATGTATAGGGGTTTTTTTGTTTCTTTGTTTTTTGTTGTTGTTGTTGTTCAGAAAGCACGTTATTTTAAAAAGCCACAAGCTGGTTGTTTATTTTAACTCTATTCCGGACATGATTTATTTTGCATTTTTGAAGAGGTAGCTGTGCTAGCATATCAGGCAAAATCAAAAATAAAAATAAAAGATAAAATAAAGAAGACAAAAACATTTTGACTCCTTAAAAACTAACTGATATATTTTAATGTGAGTCCACTCCCTCAGACAGATTTATTTTTGAATCAATTTGGCGTGTGCACTTGCTTGTATTGGAGTAAACTGTCTCTCTTGGATCTGTCCAGTTTTGGATTCCAGGATCACAGGCTTCAGGCTTGCTATAGAGACACATTTATGATAGATCTAGTGCTTTTTAAACATTTGCTTGCATTTTTTGTCTATATCTCTGCATCTTGTAGAATATTGATGGAAGCCTGCCTTCATGACATAAGAATAATTCAGAAAAATATATCTACCCCGGGCAACATTTCTTACTTACAGAGATTTCGGGTTTGTTTTTTAGGCCCCATAGAAAACAAAAGAACTGAAAGTAGGGGATAAAGTTTAAGTAAGTGGCACCTTAGGACAGGGAAATTCCCTTACATGTTTCCAATGCAGCTGGGGTGATGTGCCACCCGCAGTAGCCCGAAGCGCCATGAAAGGAGAGCAGGGTGGCCAAGACAGCAGCCAGCAAGAGCATCTTGGCCATGGTGCCTTCTACAGCAACCTGGAAAGAGGAAGTCAAAGCAGTGACATTAAGTGACTTTGTCCTAGTCTTGTGTGTCCAATCCATGTATCTCATCTGTAAACAGAACTTGCAAATTATCACCTTTGGGGGGGGATTATGACCCCCTAAATCTTATAGCTCACACAGCTACAGCCAGTTTACTGAGGGTCATAATCATGTGCTATCCATCACCTTGCCGACAAAGGTCCGAATAGTCAAAGCTATGGTTTTTTTTCAATAGCGATGTATGGAAGTGAGAGCTTGGACCATAAAGAAGGCTGACCGTCGAAGAATTGATGCTTTTGAATTGTGGTGCTGGAGGAGGCCCTTGAGAGTCCCCTGGACTGCAAAGAGAACAAACTTATCCATTCTGGAGGAAATCAACCCTGAGTGCTCCCTGGAAGGACAGATCCTGAAGCTGAGGCTCCAGTACTTTGGCCATCTCATGAGAAGAGAAGACTCCCTGGAAAAGACCCTGATGGTGGGAAAGTGTGAGGGCGAGAGGAGAAGGGGACAACCGAGGATGAGATGGATGGACAGTGTCATCGAAGCGACCAACATGACTTTGACCCAACTCCCAGCCCCTGGCCCCGGCGGCCAGATCGCTGGCTCACTGAGCTATCTAGCCAGCTGTGGGAGTCATTGTCCCCACCCACCCCACCCACCCCCTGAAAAAAAGCCACATTTTCCAAAAACCTCCTTTGTGGCCCAGATTTCCTCCAAGATGCTGAGAATAGAAATGTGGGGACGAGGTAAGAGGATGGCAGATGGCAGCAAGGAAACCCAGCACCATGCCTTGATGGCGAAGGAAGGGGGATGGCTGTTGGAAACCAGCGAGGAGGAAATGGAAGAAGGAATTGAGGTGGGAGGGAGGCCAAAAAAGGCAGAGAACTAGAGAGCCGCAAGGCAGGGACTTAGAAGGCAGTGCCCAGATTAACGCCCACTGCATCAAAGAGTATAACTAGCTGCTAGAAATGAAGAAAAAAGCCAGTCACGGAGTCCCTCCTGTGCCCTGAAGGAACAGGCATGAGAAAGCCAGATCCTTGGACCCGTCCGATCTATGCCTCCCTCTTTCATTTAGACTCCTGTTCTCTAAGCCAGTGGTTCCCCAGCTGTTCTTGGACTACAACTCCCAGAAATCCTGGCCAGCACAGCTAGTGGGGAAGGCTTCTGGGAGTTGTAGTCCAAGAACGCCTGGGGACCCAAGATTGGGAACCACAGATTTAGGGTGATGTCCCCCACCCCCTCCCCATAAGACTGCCCATTTCCATCTCTCTACCAAAGATAGGGTTTGTCCTCACCACTCATCTTTCGATCTCAGGGCAAAAACAGAGGTTGTTGATCATCTTACATAGCACAGGACAGATCATCATGGGCTCAAGAGATAGGAAGCCAGACAAAAACAGAATGTCAGGAAAAACGTCTTAATGGTTAGAGCAGTACAACAATGGAACCCATGACTTCCAGGGGAGGTGGTAAGCGCTCCAAAGCTGGAGACCTTCAAGAGAAACGTAGACCACCACCTGTCTGATCTGCTTCGATTTGGATTCTTGCCTTGAGGAGGGGATTGGACTTGATGGCCTTCGAGGGACCCCCTTCCAGCTGCAGGATTGTAGGATTCTAGGATTCAGTTTCCTCGGGCCTCAGCAAAAGGGCCAACTCCAACACCAACACCAGAACCCCAGACTTTGGCCAAGGCAGATCCTTCAAGCGTTCTCTCATCCTGGCTCAAACCCTCCTTACCTGCTGTTGCTGCACAAACCGAGGGCAGGATAGCTGGTGGCTGTCTCACCCCAGCCCTCGGCCAAGCAGGAATAGGGGCTCTTTATATAGTCCAGCAACTCAGGCTTAAGGGAGCCAAGAATTAGTGAGGCGTGACCAAAGAAATTGCTCACCTAATGTTCTAGCGATACCTCACTGCAAAGGCTCAAAACATAATGAAGCTCAATGAAAAGCAAATGCACGGAGCTATGGGCGGAACGGCAGAAACCCTCGTCCCTGGCACAGGGTTGCCCCTGCGGGAAAGTGTCCGAACATCCATCCCTTTGTTGGCCGAGGGAACCAGCAATAAAACATCGACTGGGAAATCAGCATAATTCCCCAACTTAGAAGATTCGTAGGAGATTCAGTTTAGTTTTTATTATTTTTACCAAGTGTTCCAAACAAGGTAGAAACAGGCTTATGGACTTCCTGATGGTTTTGGACTACAATGCCCAGAATCCCTCTCTCTTTGGTTGGGCTGGGCAGGGCTGATGGGGATTGCAGTCCAGCAGTACCCCACTGCCCCCTCCCACTGGGGCAAAAGACACAGAATGCGCTTGTACTGTAGCTAAGACCCTGTTTTTTCAGTGGTCAGAATCGGTGGCGGCTTCTTTCTCGGCGCTCTGAACGAAGCAAGGCAATGAGTTATCGAGCAACCTGGCCTCGCAGCCAGACACACACCAGGTTCCAGGAAACCGACAGGTGTTCCGCAGCACAGCCGATGACGTGGTTTGCTCCCTCCCAAGCCAGGATCCAACGCAAGGTGACGAGGAGACAATTGCCCACACGCTGTCTGGCTCCAGGGATCAAAGGGAGGAGCAGCGTCTATTGACAAGGCAGCATGCGTCAATGCTGTGAGGCATAAACACAACTGAGTCGAATGCCATTCAGCCAGAGGTAAGGCCACACCAGCAGGCAGGCAGCCAGCCTGGCTCCATTAAACACCTCTGGACCAAACAAGGCATGACGCAAGCAATGTGCCACCAGGTCTCCCAACCTCCAAGCTGCCATCTTGGGCTCCAACGTTGGTGTTAGCCCTTCCCCGCCTGCTGGCCCCTTTCCTGATCAAAAGGACCCACCCCAAAATTGTAATGACTCTGCCCGTGCTTTTATTCTGCCTGCGTTTTCTTCTCCACTCCTATGCCAACGACGACATGGAGAGGCAGCTTAGCTCAGATTCAACAACAACAACATCTGGAGCAGCGGTTCCCAACTATGGCTCACCAGATGTTCTCGGACAAAAACTCCCCAAAACCTTGACCACGAGTTATCTGGAAGTTGAGTCCTGGCCACTGGACTTCCTCCTTATTAGGTTGAAACGTTTCGCTCCTCACCCAAGTAGCTTCCTTCGGTCATGACTCAACTTCCAGATACCTTCACCTGGAGGACTGAGAATCTTCACAGATATTTTACCACTGGTTGCGCTGGCTAAGAATTCTGGGGGTTTGTAGTCCAAGAACATCTGGGGGGCCCAACGTTGGGAGCTGATGATCTGGAAGAAAATATACAGCCAAAGGCCAGAAACAGGCCAGGAAGGAAGGCAGCTGCTCTAATCTCCTGAGAGGAGCCGGGAAAGAAGCTGTGGAAAGCAGGATGCTTGACTTGAACCAAAATGGCTCTTCTCATGTTCTTAAGCTTCTGGGTCCTTAGCAGTGAATGAAGACCAAGCGAGAAGGTTCTTGGGAAGCTGACAAAGCCCTTCCAGTGATCGGACCAACGAGGACAGACAAGCTTCTCTCTGTCACCACAGCCGATGGTGGAGCAGGCTCTTAAGGTGCTCCCGTCAGGAAGCAGACGGGGAAGGTTGTTGCTTCCCAAAATGAGGGGCCACACCTGCAGCATCTTCTAAGAAGGCCCGGCGGCTCCCCCTGCTCCCCTCTGCCACCAGGCGCTTCCAATACCAAAAGCACCCCATCTCTCAAGAAAGGGGGGGAAAACCCCTAAACCACACATTTTAAAAGTATTGTGTTTATTTTCAAGCACCAACAGACAAATCGCTTTTATCGAATGCCGACAGACGCAGCACAGAAACAATGAGGACACAACGGGCTCCGAATCGTTTTCGGTTGGATGGCGCCCGCTCTCTTTGAAAGGCCCGGTCTCGGCTCCTCTCCCGTCCCGGCCGTCAAGTCTCCTTGAGATGCCTCGCTTTCTTGCGGATCAGGTAGTACTTCAGGGTGGGCTTGATGACCGTCCCGGCGATCGTTGACCACCCCTTGCCTTTCCTGCCGGCCCGGTGCTCGCCTGCGGCCTGCGCCTGCTGCGATTCGGCCAGGATGTCGGGGATGTGAGGGGCAACCACCGGGTGGAGGTCCGTGTACTGGATGCAGTGATAGATGCGGGGCTGCAGAGAAAAAGAAGCTTCCTTCAGCAAATGCAAAGGTTTCTGGCTGAGTTCACACCTGTCCGGGGCAGGTGACGGGTCGCACTTCGAGGAGGACGTTTGGGAACAAGGAGGAAACCGCCAAGGGAATGGCCGTGGCACAGTGGCCCCTTTTCCTCCGAGGGTCACCCTTCAGCAGGGATCTCCCATTCCCTTCCTCCCTCTCCCCTCTCTCTCTCTCTCACACACACACACCTCCTCCCTCTCCCCCTCCTCTCTCTCTCTCTCTCTCTCACACACACACACACACACAGCCGCCCACAGTCCCAAGTGAGGCCTCTACCTCTTCGTCCTTCAGCCAGCCACAGTCCCGAGTGAGGCCTCTACCTCTTCGTCCTTCAGCCATTCCAGATTCCTCTGGTTGGCACAGATCTTGAGCCAGTCTGCCGCTTCGACATCCGTGGGGCCATGAAAGCCACATTATGGAGTGTAAGGGCAGTTCCTCTGGAGGATCTCTGTGCCATCAAGCCAGCAGAGATGGAGTCTGCACCCCAAGCCCACCTCCGGAGAAAGTTCTAGAACGTGGCCAGCAGTCTTTCTGCCCAAGAAGGATGGCATGTGGTGAAGTCGCCTGCTGGTGGTGGGCAGGGCTAGCAATGACCGTGGCCAGTCTCCCTCTCTCAGAAATTACACACACACACACACACACACACACACACGTGGAAAGAGGAGGAGGGATCTCAGGGGCTCAGTTCCTTTCTTCTTCTCACCTTCTCTCTTGACACTACACACACACACACACACACCAGAGAAGAGGAGGCATATTGTCCTTGTTTACCAAGCACCTTCCCTAGAACTAAGATTCCCACCACCTTTCCTACCTAAGGGTGTGATCACACAGGAAAATAAATCACAATTTTGACCGCCTCTGGAGCTGCCTGATGCAATCTATTTCCCAGCGATCGCACGACGCATGGGGAAAGGCGCTCCAGCCCGAACCAAATCCAACCTTTTTTTACCATGGTCAAATTGCCTCCCGCACACACACCCAGGAGACACCAGTGGACTTTCTGAGCCACTTTTTATATCCATCCCTCCCTCTATTTATTAATTGATTAATTTGGTTGGTTGGTTGGTTTAGAGGGGGAGGGGTCTGTAGTTGGGTATTCGGAAGCCCCACGTGATCCCTGGGGCACCTTTCTACCATCCCTCTTCTAAAAACTACAGATAACCTTCCGCCCCAGGAATGAAGGCCTCTGAGGATGGCAACCCCATCGATCTCCAACTCACTGGCGTTTCTCTAGAAACCAGGGAAACAAATGTGCCCTTTTTGTGGGGTGGGGACAACATCTTATTTCCCCTACAAGCTTAACGCCACCGTCAAGGAGCCACTTGAGTGGACAGCTGAAGAGAAGAGAACCGCTGCCGGGGGCCAAGCCTTCAACCGCTGAAGGAGTCCCAGGAGTCCACGTCTCATCTCGGAGGAGAGGAAGGGGGCAGAGGAGCCCTCTCAAAAGCCCGCCTCTGCTCTGCTCTGCTCTGCTCTGCTCTCCCTCACTCACCTGGTCCTTGTTGGCCACGTAAGCCTTCACCTCCGGGAGCTGCTTCAGCAAAGGGCGATGCACCTTCTGCTTGTAGGCACGCCCCAGGATGTCGCTCTTCTGGCCTCGCAGGGATTCAAAAGAGAGGAAGGGCTCAGGAATGGGTCCCCTCCTCTAGCCCCATCCGGGCACCCTAACCCTAACCCTCCTCCCCTCCTGCCTAGAATCGCCTCCCAGCACACCTCTGTCATGCTCGCTCAGCAAATTGCTTCTGGGTTGCTCTCCCGTAGCCACCCCTTACGGCTTTCACCTCACTTGCGCGCCCCCCCGGTCGTCCCAACCCTGAGGTTGCTTTAGATGGTGTTCTCATTGGGGGGGGGTGGATCCTTTGGCTTATCTTCTACTTTGTAATTCCTTGGATCACAAAACTGTCAAATTCACAAAACTCTTTGCTTTTTTTCCCCTTACAAATCATTCCCAGGGGCTGCGACCCACACACCGCAGGTGGCCACTCTGGGTTTCTCAGCTACCGGAAGAAGGAGGGGTAAACAGGTCACCTCAGTTTTAGGTCATGGCGCTTAAGTCTTGGGAATGAAAACCTGCCTGGCTTCATCCGGCCTCCCATTCAAGCAGGCAGTGAAGCCTATTTGACTTCACAAAGACCTGTTTCTTGGAATGATATGAGTTTCAGTGACTTTATCATTTGTTGCTCTTTCGGACTGAAACGACTTACATGGATTGATAGAGTAGGATCCGCGGAATCACTACCCACAGTTTCACTTCTCTGCTGCCTAAAATGTTTAAATTTTAAAATCTAGAAATACATTTTTCCATAGTGTATTACCAGAACTGCCCACTAGATGGAACCAGAGACTAGGCTATATAGAGTGTTTCTATTCCCGTTGCACTGTATTTTAAAATTTCTTTGCTGTTCTCAATAATTTTTGGACAGCAATGGGGTTTTTTTTAATATATAAAAAAACAAGACTAGTTAAGAATTGTGGATTCCAAGTCCTGCCCTCCCCTCCCCGAGGCCAGGAGCCCTCACCTGCTTCCCAGACTCCTCCCACTTTTGAAAGGAAGCCTCGATCTGCTCATCCGTGTACTTGGCCATCCGGGTCTCTTTGCTGATCAGCTCCCGCATCTTGTTGGCCGCCTTCCGCGCGAGGCCCGGCTTCACGTGCAGGAAGTCCATCAGCATGGACTGCTGTCGCTTCTGCTGGCTCAGCGAGTGGATGATGTTACGGGTGCTCCTGCAGGCAGGCGGGAGGAGACAGAACCAGGAAGGTGAGAGAGGGGATTGCACAGCAGTAAGAGAGCTCCCTATTAGCCCTTCAAAGACCTGGGGTGGGGGGGAAGAGTTGCAAAGCCTTCTGCAGAAGTCAATAAACAGTTTCCAAAGGGAGTTTAAGAACATCAGAAGAGTTTTGTGCTGGATCAGGCCAAGGACCCATCTAATCCAGCTCCCTGGATCTCACAGGAGCCCCATCAGATGCCTCTGGTAGCACACGAAACCACTAAATACCTCTCTCCTGATCCCCCTCCCCTGTATCTGGCATTTTGAAATACCTTCCTTTTAAGCCTGGAGGTGGTACCTCTCCATCATGGCTTGTCACCTGTGGACTTTTCCTCCAGGAATCTGTCCATTCCCCTTTTAAAGGCACCTAGGTGCCAGATGCCATCCCCACATCTTGTGGCCAGGGGTTTCACAGACTAACAGCACACTGGGTGAAGAAATTTTTTTTTGGTCTGTTCTCCCTCTCCCAACGCTCCATTGGGGTGGATGTCCCCTGTTTCTAGTATTGTGTAAGAAGGAAAAGAGCTTCCCTCTCTCCACTTGACCCATCCTGCATAATTTTAGGCCTTAGATCAGTGGTGTCGAACTGTGGCCCTCCAGATGTTCTTGGACTTCAACTCCCAAAATCCTGGCCAGCAGAGGTTGTGGTGAAGGCTTCTGGGAGTTGTAGTCCAAGAACATCTGGAGGGCCAAGGTTGGACACCACTGCCTTAGATCCTGCTTTGGTTAACAAGCATTCCCACCCTTCACACACCCTTTTTTCTCCTGCTTCCAACACCACCCTCTATCTAAGCCATCCCACAATAGAGCGCCACTTGGCATCAACCCCTTTCTGCCTCTGTTTTCTGCTCAAGCTCCTGCCCCTTGCACTCTGTCCAGCGATGGCTGTGATGACCAGGCCAACGGAAAAGGGCTCCTGGTCACTCAATCTGTCCAGGAGTTCCAACCCAGGCAGAGATCCAGCTCGTGATCATTTCATTCAATGGATGGGCCTTTTCTACCATCCTTTGAACTGTTGACCATTGACTTAAAAGACAAAGAGAGAAGCAGGAGACAAAGCCATCCGTCGGACGTCCTGGATGAGCCAAGGAACCCAAGCAACCTTTGCTTTGCCAAAGAGAAGACGGACCAGGTGCGCCCCCCCCCTCTACCACGAGCCCCCTGAGAGTAGAGTCACCCTCCTTCAGGCAGGGGGTCCCGTTCTCCACTCCCAACATGCACAGCCTGGGGCAGGGAGGGGGGGAGCCTCAGGAAAAAAAGCCGCAGGTGAGGTCTGCTGCCTACTCACTCCCAGTGGGGCCGGCGGCCTTCGTTCAGGACCATCATGGTGTGCAGGGAGGCCACCCGGCGGATGTCCTCGGGCACCTCGGCTGGAATCAGGTGCTGCATCCCCAGCTTCCACAAGGATTGCCCAAACGTCCCTGCCGGTCAAGTCAGGAGACAAGTCAGGGCTGGGTGGGCGCCGGAAGGACCGTGCAGCCCGCTCCCCGCGGATCGCTCCTGGCAGGGGGAGTCAGCCCATGGGCTCTCCTGAGCACCCCAGCCGTGTTACCCGAGGCCTGCTCATCATTCCTTCTTATAGGCAGACACCGCTGGGATTCCCTAGTCTCACACCAGCTCCTAAAGGCTGCAGAATCCAGCAGTGTGTGAAATGTCCGCCCGACCTTCCAAGGAGAGACCTCTATCGCTCCCAAGGGACTTCCTTTCCTGGGAGGCTGGAAGGCAGGCCTGATTTTGAGCAAACCTTCCAGTCGTTATTCTAGGGCAGGATGCTTTTCCCCCATGGCAGAACCCACTGACTAGCCCGTTCCTGAAGAGCAAAGGACATTCTGGAAACTAAGAAAAGATGTGCCAGCATGCTTGACGCAGGTTGTAGAACTCGCCGTTCTAGAAATTGGACTCTTTACTGCAGAAATTAATTACAGGGGTATTTATAAGCAAAGGACACATGCATTGGCTGGTTCGGAGCTCACCTGGAGGGGCCGACCCAAGAAAGGAAAGGCAGGGAAGGTAACCAACCGGGCAGGACGACGTGAAGACAAGTCAGGAGAAGTCCAACTCCTAGGCATACCTGCATTTTCAGACTCCTGTGCTGGCTTAAGATTTCAGGGTCTGCAGCCCTGCTCTTTTTCTGGACTGACCCACGGAGGGGAAAGCCGCCCCCTCGGCTCAGGGGCCTTCGCCCTGCTGGCTACCTGCCCAACGCTGGCTACCACTCTTGCAGGACAAGTGCTTTACCGATGTGCTTGCCGGAGAGCATCCACAGCTTGATGGTGCAATCGTGGCTGGCCGTGAGGATCACTCTGAACCTCTCCACGTACTTGATGCTGACCACGTTCTTCAGGTGGCCTCTCCAGGAGCTGAGGCAGGGGGGAGGGACCAACGTGGTGACCCAGCCTTGGTGGACCTGGGAAAGAGAGAAGACCTCTTCCACTGAAGGGACCGGCTCTTTGCTCAGAGCAAGGGCAAGCACCATCGGGGAAGGGAAGAGATGGAAGGTGAACGCCGCCTTGCGAAGGAGCAATAGAACCTATGACCTCAAGGGGAGGGGGCGAGCTCTCAAATCAAGGCTGAAAGGACTCAAGAGAAACTTAGACCACCCCCCGGCAGATCTGCTTCAATTTTCATCCCTGCACAGAGCAAGGGGGTTGGAATCCGTGGCTTTCGAGGCCCCTTCCAACTCCCATGATTCTAGGATTCTAAGATAAGAGTTGTTTCTCACCTTCTGGGACTTCTGGCCAGATGTCTCCTGTGTATCAATAACACACTAACATCCTGACCTGTTTAGCAAATGATGATTCTTTCATGCATCTTTGCTTAGGTTTTAATTAACCTAGTGTACAAGTCCCACCGTTTTCTAGAATAGATTTCATTCTGCCTTGAATGTTCTCAGATCTGCACCAAAGGGAAACGTTTCCTTGGCTTCCATCAGATTGCCCATTCTCCTTAAGGAAACCTCGACATCAATATTCTGAGTTGTACCCCTGGGCTAGTTGTGGCGAGGTACAGATGGCATCTGAATTGATGTTTTTGAATTGTGGTGTTGGAGGAGGCTCTTGAGAGTCCCCTGGACTGCAAGGAGAACAAACCTGTCCATTCTGAAGGAAATCAACCCTGAGTGCTCACCAGAAGGACAGATCCTGAAGCTGAGGCTCCAATCCTTTGGCCATCTCATGAGAAGACTCCCTGGAAAAGACCCTGATGGTGGGAAAGTGTGAAGGCAGGAGGAGAAGGGGATGACAGTGTCATTGAAGCGACCAACATGAATTTGACTCAAGTCTGGGAGGCAGTGGAAGACAGGAGGGCCTGGCGTGCTCTCTGGTCCATGGGGTCACAAAGAGTCGGACATGACTAAATGACTAAACAACAACACAGATGACATATTTTGGGTACAGGCATATCCAAAGACATAAACGCCTCCCACACCTGGTTCCATCAGGGCTTCCATCAATTTAAAGAGCCATGTGCTTAGTAGAACAGGGAGGGGTGTGTCCTTAACAGGAAGAGCCGTGTGATTGGCCTAACAAAAAGGGGTGTGTCCTGATGAGGGCTATAAGTAGCTGCTGTGAGTTCTGGGAGGGCCTTTTGCTTCCTAACTCCCAGCAGAGCACAGCTGACAAGCGGGCCAAGAGCAGGTGTGGTGTGGATGCAGGTTGGCTCATGAACAGAAGAAGTTTGATTGTTTGAAACCATAGGTCACCACAATATCAACAGCAACGCAAAACTGCACTGATCCCATGTATCTATACATCAATGCAAGATGACGTTACCTCTCTTCTTTCTTAAGACTTTGGATGCTTCGCTGCCCAAGCAAATTTTGCTACTTGACAGGTAGTATTTGCATCCCTACCCACAAGCAACATGCCACGTTGAGCCAATTGGGGAGGGGTGCTTCCCTATCACATGGGGTCTAAGAAGGCCAGCAAGAAGTTGGCTTCTGGGGTGCTCATATAAAGGGCAACTTAATAAATAACGGAAAGCATCTTCGACCTTTCTGGATCCACAGATACAGAGGTGGGCTCATAATGACAGGCTGCAACTGAATCGGAGGCAGGAAGGCTCTTCCTTCTGCCCTTAGCGGGGCCCACAGGCAGGAGGTGCACTTGGCAAATCCTTCAACTTTCTGCTTGCATAGTGTTCCCTCTCCCCCCCCCCCCCCACCCAAGGGAGAAACTCTGGCCTTTCCGGCCCTAGAATCCTAGAAAAGGGAAGTTGGAAGGGGCCTACAAGGCCATCAAGTCCAACCCCCTGCTCAAGGCAGGAATGTGAGTCAAAGCACAGCATATCTGCCAGGTGATCATCCGAGTTTTTCTTGAAGGCCTCCAGTGTTGGAGCACTCACCAACTCCTGAAGTCATGGATTCTGTTGTCGAACTGCTCCAACAGTTAGGAAGTTTTTCTGATATTCAACAAAAATCTGGCTTCCATTAACTTGAGCCCATTTTTGTGTGTCCTGCACTCGAGATGATCAAGAACAGATCCTGCTCATCCTCCTGTTTGAAAAGTGCTATCATATCACCCCCCAGTCTTCTTTTCTCAAGGCTAAACATACCCAATTCTTTCAGCCTTTCCTCATAAAGCTTAGTTTCCAGCCCCCTGATCATCTTTGTTGCCCTCCTCTGAACTTTTTCCAGTTTGTTAGCATCTTTCTTGAAGTGTGAGGTTCAGAACTGGACACAGGACTCAAGGGGAGGCCTAACCAGTGATGGATAGAGGGGGACTAGCACCTCGCGGGATTTGGAGAATATTCTTCTATTAATGCAGCCTAAAATAGCATTTGCCTTTTTTGTAGCCACATCACACTGTTGGCTCATATTTAGCTTGTGATCTGCGACAATTCCAGGATCCTTCTCACTCATAGTTTTACTGAGCCAGGCATCCCCCATCTTGTAACTGGTTTCTTTTTCCGAGGTGCAGCCCTGGTTGGAAAGCCTACAGAGGAGAATACTGTGGGCCTTCTCTTTTTTTCACCCCCTCCAAAAGTTTGGAAATTTTACTTTAGGTATTAGAAGTTATTCTTTTGGACTTTTTTTTTAAAAAAAAAAGCATTTTTCTAGCTCTGCTCTTTGTCCTTGTAAATGCTATTTGGTGGCATCATTATACTGAGTGGAAAAATTACTTCCTTTGGACCACGAGTCCCAGAATACAGGTTTGGTAGATTCCAGACTTCTGGCCTAAGAGGGTAACTTTTTCAAGGTCTTCTTTGAATTTGGAGGGGGTGACAGTCATTGGGAAACCTCTCCTCCATCTTCCTGTTCCTCCCTGAACTTGCCCAACTCCTTTTAAAGCTACGTCGGCCACCCTGGGGTAGCAGATTTCATACTCTAAGGAGCAGCCCGCCCAGTCGGCTTCCTTCCGCTCTCTGGGGAAGAGGACTTAACAGCCACGCCACCCCCAATTTCTGCATCCTTTCTGACACTTCCGCACATCCGGTGGGACAGCCACTGGACAGCCCCTGCTGAGACTACAATCCCAACACAGTCCCTCCTGCACCCACGTTCCCCGAGTAGGCCGTCCCTGGTCTGAAACCCAGGTGGATCACAACATGACTGACCTCCTCGGTCACTCCCTGGGCTTGGAGCTTGGCAGGAACCCTACAGTAGTCGGGGATTAATTCACAGAAGCCGTTCTCCTCAAGAGGATCATCCTCGTCCATGTCCGTCACAGAATTGCTCCCTTTTGCTTTGGTGCAGTACTTCATGATGTCCCAAACCTGGAGAAAGAAGGAGCAATGGGTGCTCTCTGTAGCCACACACTTTGCCATTTCACTGTTAAAATACAGATGGGCGACAGGATCCCGTGGCTGGGGATCCTGTCACCCATTTGTATTTTAACCCTGAAATAGCAAAGCAGCCCGTTTCCAGCCTCTGTCCCTTGGGCCCCTCGTTGTTCGTGTGGCTTTCCAGCGATTCCAACTTTCTGCTCTTTTTTCAAAGCAGTTTGGTGTTTTGCTCAACTTTCTCCCTGTTTCTTTCAAAGTCCCTCTCCCGTTTCTCCCATTCGGCAATTGCACCCCAAAGCGAGAAACATTTTAGGCATGCGCAGAAGACACACGACCGGCCATACCTTCCTGGCAACACACACAAAACAGAAACGGAAACACTGACCTTAATGTAGCCCAAGGAGTCCCCAGTGAAGAGAACCAGATCCTTGTCGTCCGTGGACATGGAGCAGACCACGGTGTCCCGGGCAATGCCGTGGGCTCCTCGGAATTTGCCCATCATCCCACCTTTGGTCCCGACCGCCCAAGCGTAGATAAACCCGTCAGAAGAGCTGGTGAGCAAAATGGCCGTGTTCGGGCCACGCTCGCGAGTATTCAGGAAAAGAACCTAGCAAAGCGAAGAAGATCGTGTTCTCTGCCAGGGAGACAGACGGGTAGAGAGACAGACAGATTTCCATACTATGGCGGTCCAAGGATAGCAATGTTTTACCCGAGAAGAGGCACTTCTTAGCACAGTTAATCATGGGCTCCAAAAACCCAACGAGCAGCCTTTTTCGGTCTGACTGCTCATCACATGGAAGAAAAGGAACCAGGTAGAGGGTTGCTAAGACCTTTCAAAGGAGGAAATTATTATCCCAGGACATTCAGGAAGAAAATGGGTTTGAATGAAGACCACATTAAAGACCAACAAGTAACTCACGCCTACACACGGAGGGTTTTCCTCCTAGTGACAATGATATTTTTGTTGGTAAATTGTTGTTTGATAGTATTTAATTGTTTTTAGTCTATTTTATTGTGAGCCGCCCAGAGTAGACGTTGTCTAAATGGGCGGGATACAAATTTAATACATAAAATAATAAACGAATAAACAAACAAACAAAAAAATATATAGCCTATGATATGCAACCCATTCCACTCACAGAAAGCCATCCTCACTACTTCTTTTTTTTTCAAGCACCTGTGGAGGTTTGCCACTGCCTAATTTTTTTTTGTCAGGAAAAAAATGCAAATTCATAATTCACCAACCTTGATGAATCACGAATCAAAGCGAATCACCATTTTCCTGATTACTTTCCATCTCTAGACACCACTGAACTGGCTGCCGGAGAGAAGTTCACCCAACCAACCCTGCACACTCAGTGGAAATAGGATTGTATTACATACTTGCAGAAGAGAACACAGAGCACAATGGGACATAAAGAATACTTGACATATGCAAGAAATGGATACTAAAAGCTGCAACAAAAATGTTTGCAAGGGATAAGAATTTACACCTAGAAATAAAATAAAGGTTTTAAAAAAGGCATGCCCATGATCGAGCATGTAGAAAAAAACAGAGGATTGACAATCAGCTCGCATGCCAGTTTTTGCAGGTTTTTGGAAATTCCAGATCTCCATCGAAACCCAGTTCGTGGGGGTAAACCATGGAAAATACAGAGTCACCATCCGTTGCCAGTGGGATTCCAGTCCAATACCTGATTTTAGCTCAACCATGAATATGGCAAGGCATTGCAGAATGGTCACCGAGACAGACATGGATTTTTCCAAGGTTGTTTGCCAGCAACCCTTATGGAGGGAGCACACAGAGGGTCAGGGAACGTTTCCACAAGGGGTCAGCCGTCCCGGAGGTCTCTGCCCTGTGTTGTTTCTTTCTACCAGAAGCTGACCAGCATCCAGCTCTTCATCCCAAAACCTCAGCCCCCCCCCTGTGACGGGGCCCCAGACTGACCTTCTCCACAGCCACTTGGGCGGCGCTGACCTCTTCCTGCCACGTAGGCCCATCCTTTTTAGGGGCGCCACCGTCAGCAGCCCCCGGGGCTTTTAGGGAGTCGACGGCACTCTTCTTGCCTCCTTCAGAGCTGCTGGCGGCCTAAAAGGTCACAAGAAATTCTGTCTCTCCTCAAGGAGCCCGGCTGTCTCACACAGGAGCCCTCTGAGAAGCCCAACAAATCTACCCAAATTGGGACGGGCCAGTATTTCGCCGAGTTTTATCCCTACTCTCCGGCAACGGGCCTCTTGCACTGCACCCAGCGTCACCAAAGAAGCAACTATAGACACCAACAGAAATGGGCAGAAATTTAAAAACGAATCACCAGATTCATTCAATAAGCACTAATTTGCTGATTCATAGGAATCAATGCCCCCAACAAATCACAAATAAATGAATTTTATCAATTTTTGGATGTGTGGCTTTAAAATGGCCTTCCGGGTACCTAGAGACACAAAAATTGCAAGGAAGCTTCCTCTGACTCTCCTCTACAATCCGTCCAAATATGGCGAAGTTTGAGTTTCCCCAAGCTAGCTCCCTTTCCTAGGGAGATGAACTTTCTGGATGTATGACTTGGATGTCTGAAAGCCAATCTTTGCCAATATAGAGGAGAGTCTGTAGAAGCTTCTCTGTGATTATGGTGTCTCTAGGCACTGAGGGGAGCATTTTAAAGGGTTCTAAACTAAAAAGCAAATTGATAAATTGATTTGTCAGGGGGGAAAATGTAAATTCATAATTCGCTGACCTTGACAAATCACAAATCAAAATCAAATCATCGTTTTTCTGATTACTTTCCATCTGTAGACACCACCAAACACTGGAAAGTTCTTACATTTTAAAGAAAAGTTCTTTCATTCCTGTTACTGCATTGTAGCAATAATTCACTGCTATTACACCCTTCCAGTGTTTAAAAGCAACTCATGTTTGCTTCGTCCATTGATCTTTACTTTCCCACTAATGTTTTTCGAGGAGGGGGAAAAACCTTAGAATTGATAAGAGAACAGCCTAGAGTGGTCCGGTGGGCCAGATAGAAAAAACCTTAGAATTGATAAGAGAACAGCATTAAGTTGAGAAACCTATTGCTATTTTTAAAAAGTCTGAAAAAGCCTTCTAAAAGAAAGTATTTAAAGCAGCTAAAAACATTATTCACTACACCAGTAAAGTTACTTCATTTCTGCCCATGTTGCTTTTGATTTGATTTTTTAAAATTAAAAAAAATCCTTATTAATGGATTACTGTTCACCCCCAGGCACTTAGATGCCACTACACAGAGGATCTGGGATTTTGTGCACACCCAATGTATGATTTCCATGGTTGTTGTGGGTTTTTCGGCCATGTTCTGAAGACTGTTCTTTCTAACATTTCACCAGTCTCTGTGGCCGGCATCTTCAGAGGACAGGAGTCAGAATTCTCTGTGCTCTGGTGCAGTTTGTTTGGATAGTTGAGCATTTATAGCTGTGGGATCAGCTTTTGTCCTTTTCAGGAGATGGGTGATTGTGGTGATCAGCGTGTTTTTTGTTGTGGGTGTATTGTTGTGTTAAGAGGGGGAGATTATCTGTCACTGTGATTGATGGTTGTCGTTAGCTGGTCTTTTGTGTGCAGTGATCACTGGTCCTTGTAGCTGGATAGACTTCATTGACCTTTTGCAGGCTGTATTTTTGAAAAATACAGCTGATCACCATAATCACCCAATCTCCTGAAAAGGACAAAAACTGATCCCACAGCTATAAATACTCAACTACAGCAACAGAGCATGGACAGAGTTCTACTCCAGTCCTCTGAAGATGCTGGCCACAGAGACTGGCAAAACGTCAGGAAGAACAACCTTCAGAACATGGCCAAAGAGCCCGAAAAACCCACAACAACCATCAGATCCAGGCCATGAAAGCATTCAAGAATACATATGATTTCAATATTTTTGTATCTAAGTCCCAGGAACGTCTTCAAACCTACCTGAGGATGCACAAGCCGACTTCCAGGCAGAGCAGATCCAGGGGGCCTGTAATGGAATGAAGACACTGCAGGGTTGTGTGCACTGACGGGTCTCGTTGGGAGGGCAGGTTTTGAAGGGAGCACCGTTCTCGAGTATGCCCAGCACTTCTTTCCAGGACTGCCCGAGAAATCAACTGCCTTCTTTGGGGTAGCAGGATCCACAGAAAACTCCTGATGAAAAGTGAGACTCTTAGTTTCAACAGAAGCCAGACTCCCCCCCTCCCAATCTCCATCAGTAGCCCTATGTCTGCCTTAACGTTGGTTCTGAAGGTCTTCCTTCCTTCTAACTGTATTAATAACCAGGCTCCGAAACTGACAAAGGTGGTTGTTGATTTTGGCACCTTCAACATTTATGGCATTTTGCTAAGTACGAATCTGTGCCCAAGGAGTTTACAATCTGGTGTTCATTCAGGAAGGCCATCTGAGAAGGGGAATGGGATTAAAATGGGAGAAAGGAAGCACAAGTGGAGTACAGTGGGGTCTTGACTTGAGAACTTAATCCGTATTGGAAGGTGGTTCTCAAGTCAAAAAGTTCTCAGGTCAAATCTGCATTTCCCATAGGAATGCATTGAAAACCATTTGATCCGTATCTGCTCTTTTCCGTCCATAGAAACGAATGGGAAGCTGCTATTCCGCCTTCGACCACTAGAGGGGGATATTTTGTTTCTTTTTTCTTAGGTCAAGAAAGGTTCAGGGAAGGCAGGGAAAATACACTCCAGGCAGGACAGGACCAGGCAGTCCGAAGACTGTCTCCCAATCCACTCTCTAAACACTGGGAGGAGCGAGGAAGCAGACAGGCACCCTTTTCACTGGCCAACAGTTAACTGAAAGTTCAAATTTTGCACTTTTCCTGCCTCCTACGTGGTTTTTTTAGTTCTTAACTCAAATCTAAGTATGTAAGTCAAGTCAATATTTTCCTATGAGAGTGGTTCTTAAGTCAAAATGTTCTTAACTCGAGCCAAGTGGAGTGATCGAATTTTTCATGTGAATTTTCAAATTGTGCCTGGCATGCACAGATAAATAGCAGTGAAGACAAATCCGATGGTAACAAGGCTGGCCAATTAAATTTGCCTCTCTTGAACCCCAGAATGAAGAGAAAGAGAGAAACTCATATGGGAAAGAGCACAAGAACAGATGAGATTCCCATGTCATTATGACTCAATGGGCATACTCAAAATGAAAGGAAAAGGACAACCTTTAATGACAACCCAGGTGATGTCTGTTGCTTACCGGAATATTTCTACAAACGCACTCTATTCTAATACAGTGGTGCCTTGCAAGACGAACGCCTCATGGGATGAAAAACCCACAAGACGAATGGTTTTTGTGATCGCTATGGTGCCTTGTAAGATGACTTCTTCTGTGGCCGTGCTTCGCAAGACGAATGTGGGTTTTTTTCGCAAGACCGATGCCTCGCAAGACGAATGAATTATTTTCGTCTTGAGAGGTTCCCATAGGAATGCATTGCAATGCATTCCTATGGGAAGCTGTTTTTTGCAAGACAAATATTTCGCAAGACAGTGCTACTCATGGAACGAATTACATTCATCTTGCGAGGCACCACTGTATTTGGAAACCGCTCATTCGACTGTGACTTCCACAGCGGTACTTGCGCTAATCATGCCCAGCAAAGGAGCCAGGATTCTAGTGGGACGTTCAAGACGAATGGGTTTATGACAGTACGAGGGTTGGCAGTCGTACAACCCACTGGTGTGGAACCGCCACGGCTTGACGACAGAGGCTATTTAAGACTAAGCCAGTGATGTGGCTGCTCTTCCTCTTGCTTCTTTTAGGAAGAAGCTCAAGTTAAGGGAAACCTCGGGTATTTCTTGCTGGGCAGAGTGTTTCCGTGAACGGAACGGCCACGCCAGATGGAGGGGCCCCGGCTTCCTCGGCCCGTGGGGCGCTTCGCTCCTTTTCCAAGAGGCTCAGCGACCGGGAGGGTATTCACAGAGAAGGCCTCGTCAAGCCAGGGACTCGGCACATACCCTCTTGGGAAGCAGCGTCAGGGGGCTCTCCGAGGCGTTGAAGCGGCAGAAGGCCTGCCCGGAGCTGACGTTCCACAAGACGGTGTCCCCGCTGCACGAGGCCGTCACCAGGAGCTTGTTGTTGTACCCGTCCATGCACAGGATGTCATCCGAGTGGTAGGACTTCCAGTGCTTGCTTTCGATCACTTTTTCGTGCTCCTTGATGTCCCTGGGAAGGAAAGATTAAGTGGCCCCACCAGAGCTGTGGAAGGAGTGGGGAAGGGTCCCATCCTCCCAGCGCACAAGAATTTTTTAAAAAAAGGAAAGGAAAGTCCAGGCGGATGCTTCTCTTTCTCGAAGTCTGAGCTTAGCTCTGGAGGGTTTCCTGCAGCCATCCAGCCAGCGAGGTTATCAAAGACGGCTGTATTGGGAGGGGAGGGGATCCACCGGGCATCCCTTTCAATGGGACCTTTTCCTAGCCAACTCACATCCTGCTGATCTTATTGATTGATTGATTTTTATGAGACTTACATACCACCCATCTAGAACGTATCTACTCTGGGCAGTTTACCCAATCTGAACCTATAACACCCTAAATGTGTTTCAGTCCATCTCAAGGACCTACATCTTCTTTTATGAACCTGCCTGAATGTTAAGATAATCCGGAGAGGCGTTTGCCTCTGTGCGTCTGGTGGGGACACTGGGAGAGGGCCCTTCTCGGTGGCTGCTCCCAGACTTTGGAACTCCCTCCCACTAGAGGCCCACCTGGCCCCGTCCTGGCTGACCTTCCGCAAGCAGGAAAAAGACCTGTCACTTCCGGCAGGCTTTCCCTGAGTGACTGGCTGTCTGAGTGGGTGTCTTTTAGTGGGTTGCTGTGCCTTGTTGCTTTGAATCTGTTTTTGGTATTTATTTTGTTTATTTTGTTTTATTTTGCAGTATTTGCTTGATCCTTTTTAGTATTTGTAGACTTACTCTTATTAGCATTAAATATTATCTTTTAATGATGCGAGCAATGTTGGGTCCTTTTTAAGGAGGAAGGCAGAATAAAGCTATTTTACATAAATAAATTCACCTCAGGCAGTGTCAGATATTGCAAATAGATGGAACAGTTACCTGTAGTTACTTAACTTCTCATAATAAAGGTGTAATTACATTTCAAAAGCAGCAAGTAGTTACAGTGTTTCTTTGTGGTTTGTGCCACGTAACTTTCCTCATTGTTGTGAAAAGTTATTTTAAAGGGCAATTTAAGATACTTTAAAATACAATTTAACAAGGATTATCCAAGTTTTATGCCACCAAGCAATGATAGAGGTATTGTTTTGTTTTGGTGTATTTGGAGGTACAGTATTCTCAAGATATAATATGGGAACTATAGGGTATTTCCCATCATTTTTCTGTCCTGTTGGTAGTATGCAACACAACATGTTAATAACATATTAATAGCAGACCGAAATCCTGTGGCTTTATTATGCAGGCAGAAGGCAAACAGTGTCACATTCGCTTCCCTCTAGCCAGCAATAAACAAGTCACTGCTGCAACTTGTTAATTGCTGGCTTGGCACACATTCAAGAATCACGGTGAGGACCCATTAATTCCCAGCTGGAAACAAGTGAAGGCTATTTGCTTTCCACATTAAGGAAGAGAACAAAAGCTGGCTAGATAAGCTCAGTGGTTTAGGTCTGGCTCCCCAGAGGTTGGAGTTCGATTCCCTACTGCGCCACCTACAAGTAGAGCCTCCCTGGGTGGCCTAGGGCAAGTGTCACCGTCCCACGGGGGCCCCATCAGAAGGAAACCACTTCTGGGTAATCACTACCTGGAAAATAGTTATAAAATTGTACTTGATACACACCAAGACGGAGAGGTCTCTTCTAGAGAGCTTCCCAATTCAGCTTTTCTACCCAGTTAGTAAAGAGTTTCTCCTCCACCACCTTCTCCGGGGGGGGGTGTCAAATAGCCCTGGGATCAAAGGAGCCTGAAAATACTTCAAAAGGGGCCACCTAATGGTCCTCACTTGGCCTGCATTTCCTACTCTGACCGGCAGCAGCTTTACTGAATATCAGATGCAGAGAACTATTTCTACAGTTCTGCTCCCTGGATCGCTCAAAGTCAAGATGCAGCCACGGGTTGGACAGGAGGCTTTCCATATGCAATGGACGTGCTCTACCATCAAAGACCCCTCCTCGCCTGGTCTCTCTATCACACACACAAAGACAAAGACAAGTTTGGGTAAAGGCAGATGTTCACCAGAGTTTGCCTCCTACTTACAGGTACCACGTCACCCTCCGGCTCCACCCTGCCACAAAGATCTTGTAGTTCATATAAAAAATGCAACTGATCTGTTAGGAAGACATAAAAGGAAAAGCAGGAAAAGATGTGTTGAACGCTGAGCTTCATTGGCAGCGCTCAAGCCTTGTGGAGCCCTACAGAAAAAAATAAATGAGGATGATGCTTACCCGGGGGAGGTAGGTCAGGGTTCAGTAATTGATGTGACACACACTTGCTTTTATATGCAACCAAGAAAGGTGATCCAAGTACGTGCAGTCACCTCTGCCTGCTAAGCGTGTAACTTTGGTGTGGGACATGGCAGCCGGCAGCCCTTGTTGATCAGGAGGCTGGAAGACCATCCATAGAACCAAATACTGGAGTTGGAAGGGGCCTGTAAGGCCATCAAGCCCAACCCCCTGCTCAGTGCAAGAATCCAGATCAAAGGAGATCTGCAAGGTGGTGGTCTAAATTTGTCTTGAAGGCTACCAGTGTTGGAGTGCTCGCCACATCCCAATGTGATGTGTTCCATTGTCGTACTGCTCTAACAGTTAGGAAGTTTTTCCTGATATTCAACCAAAATCTGGCTTCCTCTAGCTTGAACCCATTATTCCTGCACTCGGGGATGATCAAGAATAGATCTTGCCCCTCCTCTGGATGAGAGCCTTTCAACTGTTTGAAAAGTGCTATCCTATCTCCTCTCAGCCTTTTTTCCCTCAAGGCTAAACATGGGCCAATTCTTTCAGCCTTTCCTCCTAAGGCTTGGTTTCCAGGCCCCTGATCATCATCCTTGTCACCCTCCTCTGAACTTCTTCCCATTTGTTAGCATCCTTCTTGAAGTGTGGGGTGTCCAGAACTGGTGACAGTTCTCTAGATGAGTCCTGTAACCAGAAGAGATGCCAACAACAAGCTGGCTGTTTTAAGAAACAAATTGGAGGGGAAACTATCCTGGAGTCTGAGTAGAAAATTCCAGCCATGTGGCCCAAGGTATTGAGGCATTTAACAACACACACTCACACACTCACAACAGGTTGAAACCAGCTCCCAGCTCACATTAAGCAACATGCCTGGTAGGGTCAGCTCTGCCAGACCATCTGGGGACTTTAATTCCTAATTTTTCCACTTTTAGCCTGAGGAAGTGAATTGAAAGCTTGTGAAAGCTTGTGTTTAATGTTCAATTTTTAGTGGCCCAGATAAAGGTGTCTCTTCTACTTTTGGAGTGTGTAAAGGACCACACAGCTTTCTCTGTGGGTTTTGGGGTTGTTGTTGTTGTTTTAAGCTGGAGGAGGAGGATACTGCCTCTTCACACTTGGCACCAAGCTCTGTGGGCCAGATGCTATCATTTCGAACGGCATTGTCCCGGCAACCACACGCAAGATCAGAACTTGACCAAACACGACTGGGTTTATTCCTGCGTCTGTCTGTGGGAAGGGATTCGTGGTCTCACCAGCTGTCCGGCATGGAATCCATGACCACCACCAACACCCACATCTCCTTGAATGAGGAGCAAAGATTCTGCCCCCTCCCCCCCCAAAAAAAAACAGATCTATAATACAAATACCCCAAGCACCCTTTGCTGTTCCGTCAGGCTCAGAGAGTCACGGCTCCTCCCAGACCAATCCAGAAGGACGGTCACCAACGTTCAAGAAAATGACCTCTTTCGTTAGGGCAGGTGAGCAGATATTGGAAAGGAAAATCAAATGTCTGTTCCAGCCCTTGCTTGACCAGCCTCTGTGACAAGACAAGGACTCTGTTCCCCCCACCCCAGCCTCTTGTTTGGGCCCTGAAATCTGAAGCAGTGGGTTGGGTGTTGATTTAGCAGTTCTTTACATCTCTGGAAGAAAAGAGGGATGTTTCTAAAGGAGTGTCATAGAAAAGAGGGCAGATAATACCTAAACACAGTGGCTTAAGGTCTCCGGGTGCAGAGTTCGATTCCCTCCCTCCCGGGCGCAATTTTCCAGAGGGTCCCCCTTTCGAGCTGTTGCGGTTCTAACCAAGCCGGTCCCGTCCCTTCAGCTCACCTCATTCTTGTCCTCAAAGGGCAACTCCGCCAGGCAGGCCCCGTTGTTGAAGTTCCAGAGTTTGATCGTCCCGTTTTTCAGCGCCGTGATCAGCCGCCTCTCCGGCGGATCAAAGGTCATGGCAGTGATTTCCACCGGGTGCTCTGGGGAAGTGGAGAACTCCATCGTCTTCTGCCCGGTCATGACATCCCAAACACTGACGATGCCGCTGTAACAGCCGCTGACCGCCTGCGGGGAAGAGAGCACCCAGTCAAGTTCACGCCGGCAGTCGGAGCAGCTTCAGTGTTTGTCACTAGATGTGGTTGACCGACCCAAGGAGACCAGGAGGAACCTAACACATTGCTTCCAGTGAATCCCTTTTTCCCAAGAACAAATACATGATCAAGATATTTTTTCAGCTGTAATTTAACACATGATAATATAACTCCTTCTGCTGTGCAGCTGCAACTTGCAATTATTTTTATGGTTACGCTGAACAACACACCTCTCTCAAAGAGTGTTCCTGCGTTGACCTCTCTGTAGCACCAGCTCTGTATTCGTGACCTTGGACGCTCCTTCACCTCTCTCCAACCATAGTGAAACTGGAAGAGGAGAAGGTGCTGGGCCAGCCAAGGAGGGCTTTCTTTTTTGCTGCAGTGCGGATCAACACCACCAGCGCTGCTGCTATTTGCAAAGGGGCAGACTTTGGAGTAGGGTTTTACTCTGACCATGAGCTACCCATGCTTCGTGCTGAGTAAACCAGGCCTTTCCACTTAAGATTAGATGCATATACACAATATTTTTTTTGTTTTTCATGTTCCCACTGAGCCTAATGGATAAAGCCGAGATTTATTAATTTATTATTTATTTATTTTATTTATATCCCGCCTATCTAGTCGATAGACCACTCTAGGTGATGTGGAGATGTTGTTCTGAGAATGCTTTACTGCGTGACTTTTCCGCACCGTGATTTACGTCCTTTCTAGTAAAATACACTGCGCTCTGTGCCTTTGAGTAGGAACTGATGCACATATAGGGGCCCCTAAAAAGGGTTTTCAAGGTAAGTGGGATACTGAAAGGATCGCTTTACCCATTCCACTCCCTCCCAGTGAGTTTTCCTAGCCGGGCACAGATTTGCTCTCTGCTCTCTTGAGTCTTAGTCCTTCAACTCTGTCCACAGCATCGCATCCTGTGCTTTTCCTGCAACCGCCGTACAAGGGAGGAGAGGCAGTCGCCTTGATGATGCTCCAGTGCCTTTTCCGCTTCCCACAATTGGGATATGCTGGTGCCAGAGCTCAGGGAAACCTCATCTGTGCCCGAGTCTGGCCAGGCTGCTTGGCTCCACCAAGAATCACAAACCAGGCCCGTAAGTCCTCCCTTTTCTGCTCCCACCCTCAACCCTGAAAGCAAAAAGGACATCCGGTGTCCGAAACCCCTCCGGCAGGCGCCCGGCACATCTCAGGGTCAGAGATTTGTCACCTTCCGGTACACTTGGTCCCATCACTGCTCTCATCGGTGCTTCAATTAATATAATAACAATGTGCCGTCAAGTCAGTTCTCACTTAGGGCTACCTTTCCCAGGATTTTCCCATCTTCCGGGGATGGTCCCGGGACCATGTGGTTTTGCTCAAGGCTACACAGGCTGAATCTTTCTCCCGGGAAGCCCACTGAGGAATCAAACTCCCAAGATCTGGCTAAACCACCCACTGGGCAATCCAGGCAGCGCTTCCACTAAACCCACCCTTTGCCCCCTAAAACATATTTTTAAAGGCCATTCGTTGCTCCATTGAAAGGCAGGAACAGAGAAAAGGCAAACTGCTTCTCCTTCTAACATAAAATGTGGGTGGTGAGTATGTGCAGAAACGAAGCCCAAGCCGGCAGGACAAGAACGAGCAGGACAAGAACGAAAAGGCTCGTTTTTCCCCTGCAGAAAACCCAAACCTGTCTGCCAAATAGGAGGCTGTTTTTCTCCCTCGCCCGGGTCTTCTTCTGCAGCGACTCACCTGTTTGAAGTTCTTGTTGTACAAGGCACAGCAGAGCGGCTGTTCGTGGGATTTGATTTCTGCCTCGGAAGACTCCGACCCAAAGAACAGGCCAAGCTGCAGCAAAGCAACAGACAAAAGCACCAGAGATGAGCCCTAAATAAACCTCTCTCTCCAAGGAAAGGTCCGGGAATAACAGGCCAATCAGAAAAAAAGAAGGGCTCGCACAGACGGCCAAGGCTTTTCCCTCCCTGTGGACCTTCACCTCCTGCAGCAGAGGGGCGTCAGGAGGAAGGCAGGTGGTCTCACCTGCGCAAGGAGAGGGAGCCCAATGGCTCCGTGCAGCCCCACGCCAGCTCTGTGTAGGGTGCATTGTCTGGCAATGGGTGGCCTTTGTGGGCGCAGGAGGAAGCCTTCTGCCAGCTGGTGAAGCCGCTTCCCCACATTAAACACCCCCCCACACTCCCAATTCACAAGAGGCTTTTTCCAGAGAAGTGCAACTGGCGCTGGAAGGACTTTGATGCAGAGTCAGGCCTTGCAGCATCCTGTTTCGATGATGATTCAATGATTAATTGAATGATTAATGATGATTCCCGAAATCAGGGAACTGGACGGGGGACAGATTGTGTTTGTCTTCAGTGTGGAAGGGGGCTTGTCACTCTCGAATTGGCCTTCTCAGCCGCACTAGACGCTGCTCCAAGTCCTCCATACAGAGCACGTGACCCTAGTCTCTCCAGACTGAAGGATGCCTACAGCTAAATGATTCAATGAATAACGAGCACTATATCCAAGTTCCTTGGCTCATGGATGAAGGCTAAGAAAATCCCTGCCATTAGCTATGGTCTTTTTTTTTTCCAAATGAATTCACACCTGCCAACTCAGCAGTATGACAATGGAGCCCTTGACCTCAAGGGGAGGTGGCGGGCGATACGACGCTGGAGGCATTCAGGAGAAAACAGGACAGGCATCTGTCAGATCGGCTTTGGTTTGTTTTCCTGCCTTGAGCGGGGGGGCCGGGAGGGGGTAGACTCAATGGCCTTACGAGGTCCCTTCCGACGCCATGATTCTGTGATTCTGACTTTCAACCTGGCGACCCAGCACCGTTTGTTATTCTGTGAACTTGAGACCCAAAAATCAAGAGAGGAGGTCTTCCTTCCTTGGTTCCCCCACAACCTTCCCTCCACCTCCTTCCCAACCCTCTACACCCATTCTGGAAACACCCCTCACCGTATATGTGGCACAAATCAAGAAACTGCCAGGCTGGTGGTAGTAGACAGCTGAGATGGGACAGTTGCCTAGCAGGACATTCCTGCCATGGATCGATTGCAAGCAGAAATGATCAAGCAGATCCCAGACACGGATATTCTGAAGGGAGCGAGAGAGAAGACCTAGTGTGAACAGGGCTGGAGCATCTCTGGAGCATCTCCCTATCCCTCTTAACCCCAAGGAGCTCCGCCGGGATGAGCAGTCAAGAGCTGGCCTAGTTCCCCAGCCAAGGCACCCATCATCCCCTCCATCCATGCTGTTAAAAGCCGCTACACCAAGAGAGCCCAAAAAGGCGAATATGAAGAATCATGCCTTCTCAATTTTTGTCCCTAGTCTCTGGAATAAAACGCCAACAGAGATACACTAGAGTTCTTTCTTCCTTCCTTCCTAAGGTTTAGAAAGATGTCAAAAATGGAACCGAGTAAAGCTCCCTTTAATAATTGCATCTCTTGTTGTTGTTGTTTAGTCGTTTAGTTGTGTCCGACTCTTTGTGACCCCATGGACCAGAGCACGCCAGGCCCTCCTGTCTTCCACTGCCTCCCGGAGTTGGGTCAAATTCATGATGGTCGCTTCGATGACCCTGTCCAGCCATCTTGTCCTCTGCGGTCCCCTTCTCCTCCTCTTGCCTTCACACCCTCCCAACATCAGGGGCTTTTCCAGGAAATCTTTTCTTCTCATGAGAAGGCCAAAGGGCTGGAGCCTCATCTTCAGGATCTGTCCTTCCAGTGAGCATTCAGGCTTGATTTCCTTCAGAATGGATAGGTTTGTTCTCCTTGCAGTCCAGGGGACTCTCAAGAGTCTCTTCCAGCGCCACAATTCAAAAGCATCAATTCTTCGGTGGCCAGCCTCCTTTATGGTCCAGCTCTGTTTTAATCTTGTTCAGTTTTAATCTTGTAATAACTCCCCGTTGCATTATACCACTATATGGTGGTATAAAGAGGAAATAAATTAAGATAAACATAAACATCATGAATCCAGTCAGGAGTCCCAAATGGACAAAAGGAATCAGCCAGCCACTCTGGACGGCCAGCAGGGACTTGTATCCCAGAACTAGCCCGAAACCTAGAAACGAGGAGCAGCTCACGGCAGAGACGTATCCGCCAGGATCCCCTGAGCGCGTTGGCCTATAACCTTCCAAGGGGTCCTTCACTCAAGCCTCAACAGGTCAGTGGTGGTGTGGGTGCCAATCTCCACACCATCGCCCAGCACATTAAAAGCTGTGCACTTCAGCTGGGGAGCAGCTTGCGAGGCCAAGAAGGAGCATCAGAGCTCGGTGGGACCTAAAACACCAGCCAACCCTTCCAATCTTGAGGGGGGGGCATGCCCTTCTTTAGAGGCCGAGGCAGGTCAAGACTGGACAGCGCCCCATCAATGTGAAACACAGAGACCCCCAATGTTGGTGCCACTCAGCTCCCGTAGACTTAGAGTGAGGGGAGATGGCATCGCACAAGACAGGCAGATCCTGAATGCTTCATTTGCAGCCGCAGCCGCCACCTCTGGGGAGGTGTGGACTTCAAGATGGGAACCAAAAGCTATTTAAGGATGCAAAGCACCTTGCATCAGCATCCCTGTGTGCACTTGTTCTGTTGGCACATCTCAACCGTGCTCTGCAGGAATGGGGCAGGGTATTCCTGTTACCCATATCCTACCCTTTGCACCGGTGTTTCCAAAGCAATTTGCACGGAGCAAAACATAGGACACCCATGAGATATAATAATTTCTCCATGTCTTAACACCAGCATGATAGCAGGCTTGAAATCCTCTCTGGAGCTGATTGGAAGAACTGCACACCGGCTGTCAGCCAAAAGTGAGAGCGTGAAAATGCATGGCTTCCAACCCACCTCACCCATCATCCCCAGATTCTTGGTCCATGCACCGCCCCAGCTGAATGCTGGGAGCTTCTCTGCCCCCTCCCCCTTCCCTCCAGCGATCCCGCCCGGCTCCCTACTTTGTCTTTTGAGACACTGACGATGGTGTTCCTTTCCCTGTTGACCATGATATGGGTGACGGCTGTCACGTGTCCTTTCATTTGAGTGATGGGGCTGCTTGTGACGTAGGGGTTCCAGATGCAGACCAGTGGCTCGAATCCCCCCGTCACTGGCCAGAGAGAAAGAGGGAAGGGGAGGTAGAAAGGTGGCACCATCAGGTTTAATTTCAACACTGCATCTGTTGATTTATTCAGGCAACTGACAGCCCCGCTCTTCCAGCAAAACCCATCTCCAGAGTGCAGACAAAGCATAGATCAAGCACAGGGATAGAGGAACCATAGAAAAATGTCAGAGGAGAGGGAGGATGCGAAATAGATCAAAGCAATGCATTAAAACAGCATCACCTCAATCGCTTAGGCAAAAGAAAAGATCTTCACCTGAAGATCTCTCACACACCCCAAATGATACCTTCGGGCCGTTGGGTCCCCCTTCCCTCTGTGAGCAAGGGCCGTGCCAAAAATATGCCCTGCCATTCCCATATCACTACCGTCCTTCTCTGAAACATGGAGGAAAATCTTTTTCAAAGGTCTGTAAACAGAACCTGAAGACCGAGGAAAGCCCATGTGGAAGGGGAAGGGCCCCTTTGGGCAAGCCGGACGTGTTAGCACATCTGGACCGATGGAGAGTCAGAACGACGGTTCCAATGGAATTTGCTCCATGCAGACGATGGGCGGACCGATCTCACTCCAGACTGGGCAGATTGGAGGAGACCTTCACCAGGAGATTTGCCCCCCCCCAGTCATCCTTCAAAGGAAGGACCCTCTTTCCGACAAGAGCCGTTCAAAATAGGCACCGTGGACTGAGATCGAAAACAGAGCACCTGTTTTCAGAGTGGGAAGATGGAGTCCGTACATCCGACCCCACTGGTGAGCTAACTGACTGCAGTTTCGTTGTTTGTTTTAAGCACCCCAGTCCTGACTACAACCCTGGCCCTCTACGCAAGAGCAGTACCATCCCAAACAGGCTAAATTCTACATACAGGAACATAAGAGCATAAGGAACGTAAGAAGAACCCTGCTGGATCAGGCCGAGGGCCCATCTAGTCCAACCTCCTGGATCTCATGGGGACCCCCACCAGATGCCTCTGGGATCAGATGAGACAATGAGATTTAACTGTCGCTTGATCCCCGTCTTCCCCTGCATCTGGCCCTGGATCTCACGGGGACCCCCACCAGATGCCTCTGGGAGCAGATGAGACAATGAGATATAACTGTCACTTGATCCCCGTCTTCCCCTGCATCTGGCCTCTGGAGGTCCCTTCCTTCAAAGCTTTGGAGATGAGAGATCCCCATCATGGCTCGTCAGCTGCAATGGGACTTTTCCTCCAGGAATTTGTCCACTCACCTTTTCAAGGCATCTAGGCCATCAACACATCCTGTGGCCAGGAGTTCCACAGACAAACATCACACAGGGTCAAGAAATATTTTCTTTTGTCTCTTCTCATTCTCCCAACACTCCATTGGAGTGGAGGTCCCCTGGTTCTGGTATTGCATGAGAGGAAAAAAAGAGCTTCCCTCTATCCACTTGATCCATCCATCACCCCCTGCAGAATTTTATACATCAAACATCAAGTTTGAAAATCAATTTGTAAACATTAACCACTGAAGATCAGGATAGAGATTCATTCTTGTAAGTGTGGGGGACTGAAAGAATGTAATTCATTACGGGTGGTGACTAATTTGTTAATTAAATTTCTCTTTCTCAGATTAACAACAGAGCTTACAAAGAACATTTTGCAATTTGTCACCATTGACCCCTAGTGGCACTCTTTGTTACTGGCTCTTGTCAAAAAGGCCCTTTTTCCCAGATGAACTTTAAACCCTGTTTATACAACTGTTGGCTAGGAAAGGCGACGTCCACAGGAAACTCAAGAATAAGCATGCCCCGATGCTTGCCATCAGGAAATGGCTGGCCGAAGCCATTTGGGTGGCAACGTTGGGCTCAAAGCAAGAGTGAACTGAACCCCAATAATCAGCATTGCTCAAGGGGGGCGAGAGAGGCCCGCCCACCTTACCCCCAAAGAGGTATCCGGATTTTTCCCTAAAGTAGTGTGACTTATGTTTTAAGGAGCAGCTTTAAAACACAACAACATACCAAGAATGTTCAGCTCAGAAGCATAGTCAAAACAAAGGATGCCTTTCTTCAGAACAATCATTGCTGATCTGGAACAAAGAAGGAAAAACAAAGCCCAATGACATCCCAGTGAGGAGAGAGAGAATGGATGGATGGATGGATGGATGGATGGAAGGACGGACGGATGGACAGACAGAAGGACAATAGGATTTTCAGGGGATGGGGCAGGAAAAGTCTCCGTCCAAGCATGGTGGATGGCAGAGCAATCCAAAAATTTGGGGCCAGGATCCGGAAATGTCAGGGCCAAGATAACCAACTCAAAATCGAAGAGTTATGACTTGCTCACTCCCCTAACCAAAAGCATCATGAATCTGACAAAGGAGACACTTTTTCTAAGGGAGGTTGAAGCACGAAAGGATCACCACTACGGCTTCTACCTTGTACTGCTGTGTCTTCAAAACAACTGATCGATTCTCAAGGGGCAGATCGCTTGGTGAAGAAGAGAGCAAAAAAAGGCCTCTTCCAGAGACTTCATCTATATCTCTTGATAAGTGATCCAGGGTGCCTGACAAGTATTCCTTCACTGTACTATTATCCTGTGCCATGTAAACTGACAGAAGGAAAGGCTTGGACCTCTCAATTTATGCTCCACGGTGGACTGACTTTCTTGTTTTCTGCTACTAATCTTTTCCTAGACATTTATTGCACCTGTGAAAAATGGGCCCTGGTAGAACTTATCTGTTGCTTTATTGGTGGTATTTTATTGTTTTAATTTGTGGCAAACTGCCCTGGGATCTTCTTGATGAAGGGAAATAAACACACATTTTCAAGGGGGGGAAAAATAAAGACAAATGGAGACGCGGAAGCGCAACACCGCCATCTGCTGTCCCATTTCTTAACTGCAACCTCGAATTCCAGCGGCTCGTCCTATCTGACACCATTAATGATCTATTAAGCACATCATTCATTTGGTCTTCTTGCAATCCTGACTGTGCTCCTCTTAAATGAATCATTTTCTCCACCATTTTGCTGCAAGTTGAAGTGTCAGCTACAACTAAGGAAGCAGCTTGCTTTAACATAACCCAGTGAATTCATAGAGGAGAGGAGAGTGGACCCAGGGACTTGGGGATTCAGAGCGCCGTCTCCTAACTGTTGAGCCATGCGTAAATGCCAGCTCTCCCCGTTCAGTTTCCCAAACCACCAAGAGGCAAGGACTGGCTTTTGGAAAGGAAAGCTGCCCTGAACCAGCTGATTTGGCCCAAAAGGGTTGCTTTCAAGGCTCCTGGCTTTTCTACACGAGGGCAGCACATGAATTGCATGCCACTTGGCTGCGCGCCACCCTCCTGGTGCAACCAAGATGAGGGACTGGCGTTAACAGGAGGCCTTCTGCTGTCGGGGCTGAAGATCAGGAAGGGAATCCAAGGCTGGACCGTCCAGGAAGAAGGCAACAGAAACGGAAGAGTAAACACAGGAGCAGGGGCCCAAACCACAAGGCCTCTCTGCGGTCAACAGGAGGCCTGGACCCTGGGGCAGGAAGTCATCGTTCTGGCTGAGTGCCAAGATGGGTTTCCGGCTGCAACCCTTCGCTCAAAGAAGGCAAGTGGACCGCTCGTGATGGGAGCTCCATCCCCCAGGGAACAGATAAATGGTGAAGGGGTCGATATTAACTAGGAGGACCACTGTATTCCCTGCTCCCAGTTCAATGAAAAGAGAGTTGCCTCAACGTTCTAGTCTGGATCCCAGAGATATACAAATGGACCCCCCACTACTACCCCGAGGCTTGGGGAAGAGAGCAGCATTGCAATTTATTTGTTTGTTTGTTTGTTTGTTAAATTTATACCCCGCCCCTCTAGACCATGTCTACTCGGGGCGGCTTACAACACCCGTTGTCACAGGGATACAGAAACATTCACTCCTGGGACTGGAAGGAAGACACAGGTCGTAGGGCGAGGGAGGTTCTTGGTTTCAAAACATTCCCAAAAGCAGAGACATAGATCCTCAGAAGTGTTTGAGAGACTCATACGTTCCCCTTGAAAGACCCCTGGGGAAACACCTGCATTTTTACAGCCTCTGCCACATGTCCCTGACAGATCTTAAATCACAGTTTATGCCCCCTTGATCCCTTGGATTCGTTGCCCTCAAGACGTCTTCTGGGACCAAAGTAACGGCGCTTTCACCCCATCTTAAGCTACTGCAGAACCAAGAGGGGAAAAAATACAGCTCTTACTGGGTTTTACCAACGTTATGGACCGGAAACGAGGTCAGCGCCATGGCGGACTTATCTGCCGGCGTACAGGAGGCGACCAGATTGAGCTGGGGGATGTACATGATCTGTTGACACCAGTCTCCATGCAAAGCCTACGGAAGGACAGAGTGGGAGGGAGAAGGCGTAACTTTGCCGAAACAAAGACTTTAGAGAGCTGTAGAATAAACGGGATGTGTTCTATTTATGTGCACGTCACATCTGAAAATCTGTAAAGAAGGATCTCATCCCTGAGATAGCATAACATCATAATCATAACTGAAATTACAGTGCATTCTCCCCTTGCTCACCTGCCCACCTCCCTGCCTTTTACCCCTGCTTTGCTTTCCATGCTGTGCATAAACACAACTTTTGCTCCACTGTGTCTCTTCGGCTCAAAATATCTTTGCAAATTTTTGAAAGAAGGCCAGCGCCTGCGGCCACTGAGGGTCAGAAGGCCAGATGATAAGTAATAATTCTCTTTCCACACTCTCTGAAAGAAAAGGGCTAGTATCTGTCTCCAGTCTAAGCAGTCTGCTCTTAATGAGAAGAATTTGTTAAGGACCTGCTCAATCAAGGCATGAGGCTCAAAATTTAGATAAATTAGGGATAGGAGCCTGTACAAGGGAACAGAACTCTTTCTCCTCTCCTGCTTGCTAATCGGAAGCCCAGCTCATGCCTAACAGCACCTCTCCATCTATTTCCTTGACCAGGAATCATGGTGACATCATCCATCCAGGACAGATGAGTCCCGAGGGGAAACTCACAGAAACGGTGAAATTCTGGTAGGATTCAGTCTTTGCCTTCATGAGGATTTGCACGGGGACTCTTGCTAAGCCACCTGCGAAGACAAGGTGAATGCAGCTGCTTGAGAACCAGCAGAGTCCAGCTGTTCCAAAACTACTACAGATGTTGCTGTTGTCCCTCTGTTATAGAGGTTGCTGGTTAGCCAACCACCCACATGGGTGCCCTGATGAAAAACAGTGGGTACATAAGAGCTGGCACCGGGAATCTCTCTGTGACCGGGAATCCTGCGCAACGGGAACTACTTGGAGCAGGTGTTCCTTCTGCAAACAGTCCAATGTTTCTGGAGCTTGTGCAAAGAGTCATGCAGCACTCCCTTGCACAAGCACAACAGCAGGCAAGAGATTCTGCCAAGGGTCCACCTGCATAGCATTTGACGGATTCTGGACCATGTGCATCAGTGAGAGATCTCCCAGAGCTTCTGTTTGGGAGCACCAAAAAACGGCCAGCGAGTGACAACACATCATTCACACATACCCCCCTGTGTTTTTGCCTTCTGCTTCCCCCACATGCTGTCCTGCATGGAGTCACCCACGATTTACCGATGTAGCTGCGAATGTTGAAAAGCCCGTTCCTCACAACGTCGGTCGAAGTGAAGACGAGGACATTCCCTTTCACATCGCCAACACAGAACACGGCCTTGCGCCCGTCTGTCCTAGTTCAGGCAGGACGACAAGAAAAAGGAATGAAGATAACCAAGCAAAATGGCCCCCCCCTCTCGGAATTAAAATCCTGCTTCGGAGATCCCACCCACAATAGCTCACAATCTGTATACAGCCATATAAAATTTACATTTTTCTAAAAAACAAAATTATAACCTACCTCATCCTGGTGTCATTTGGCATTACATTTGATGTTTTAATTACCTTGTTGCCTTTATTATCTACAGAATGTCTAGTTGTACAGGGAAGTACATATATTTTAGTACAGTATAGATTATCCAGAATAGGGCTGTAAACTAGTGGGGTACGTAGGCAGGCAGGCAGGCAGGTAGGATGGACGGATGGATGGACAGACTGAGAGATTGGAAGGAAGGAAGGAAGGAAGGACTGAGAGATTGGATGGATGGATGGATGGATGGATGTTCTTCTCCCTTTTCAAGCATAAACTGCCTCTCTTGTGACTCAATCCGACAGAAGATGTCTCCCAAAGCTATGAGCGGAAAGCCTTAGTGCAGCCCTGATGGGACACATCCCATGCATACAGTATGTCTGAGGCTTCATTCCCAACGCCTGTCGGAAACTCTCAACAACCACTGGTATTCAGAGCAAAGTGCTTTCAGCTGGACCGACCAGCAGCCTCTTGCAATGGGAAACCCTGTCTTGCATTCCTTGTCTCATACTCTCAAGAGCAACAAGCAAGGAGCGAGGGACCACCAGCTCTTCTACAGGAGGCTTTCATTGTGCTGTAACTCAACTTTCTTCCCTGAATTTTAGGCCTATTCCAGATAACACGTTGCTTTGTTGCTTATTATTCCACCGTTCCAGCAAGATGTTCACAAGGCGGTCAGCATAGTTTTTGCAAACCCCCCTCTGTCTCCACAACAGCCACAGGAAGGAGAAGCGGCAAAGCCATACGAGGCCACCGAGTGACGGGCATGTTCATTGTTGTGAAGAGAACCAAACAGGCAGGGTGGGGGAGACATTGCGTAACCACCACGTGCTTTTTTAAAAGGCAGGTCATCCGCATGACAAATAAAATGGTTGGCCTGTGCTGGAAAGAGGCAGTGGTGCTAGAGGGTCCTTGGGGCTGACCCAACAGGCCCTCCCCTTTGAGGAGGTCCCCCCCCTTCCTTGGCCTGCTTCCCTTCGGATGCAAGGACGGCTAGGCTGGCTGGGAGGCTGTTGGGTTGCATTGGGTGCAAGAGAGCATTTCAAGGGCCCCCCGCTGAGGAAGGCTATCCAATGCAACCACTCCTGCCCTTCATCCTCCCATGAATCTTCGACCTTGCCACGGGAAACCGGCCATCCTTACCCAAGGAAGTGCGTCCATCAACCTACCAGTAATCCATGGCCGTGGCACATCCCTCCAGGTCAACCAGGGTAAATATCCGGTCGCATTTGTTGCCATTGATATCAAAAAACTCTGGTTACAGAGGGAGACAGTGAGAAAGAGAAATCAAAACATTTTCTTCAAGGCCAACAGGCACTGCCTTACAAATACAAGAGAGTAAGTGATACATTTACAGACCATTAAAAATCATCATGCAATATGCAAGCTTTCAAGGATTTAGAAAAAAACACATTCCATTGGGTTCATACCAATGTGAAGAACATAAATGTTCATAGCAAGATGGATTTCGCCAGGAAAGTTACTCTTAGCTGTAAAGTCCAAGTGTTTCGGCAAGATGGGTTTCACCCGGCACATCTCTCTTAGATGTGAGTCAGGGAAGAGGCAGCAAATTTTAGAGTGCTTGTGGCAAAGTTGCAGCTGAGGATTGGAGATCACTCCCCAGTTTTTCAAACAAAGAGGCACAGGCCATGCGCCCATGCGCGTACATACCCCTCTCCATTTGGCCTTCCTTTGAAACAGACATGTCTCTGCTTGATGTGGGCAGGGAGTGACGCCAGCTCTTGAGTTGGCATCTTGTGGGACATGGTGGTGCTGTGGGCTAAACCGCAGAAGCCTGTGCTGCAGGGTCAGAAGACCAAGCAGTCGTAAGATCGAATCCACGCGACGGAGTGAGCTCCCGTCGCTTGTCCCAGCTCCTGCCAACCTAGCGGTTCGAAAGCATGCAAATGCGAGCCGGCTGTATAACTTTTTTAATGAAACAGGCTACTTTTACTTTCTTCTCCGTTGCCCGAGGATATCGCAAGATTAAAAAGTCACTTACATATCAGAAAGTTTGATTTTTTTGCAGCCTCCTTGATGTTCAAAGCGAGAGCTCCGGGAAAAGTTAGACCGCAGCCATGATGATCCAAACCACGCCCCGTCCCCTCTTATTTCCAAGGTGCTACCTTGGTTCCCTCTCGCTCGATATTGGAGGGTGGTAAATACCCTACTCATAGCAGTGCTTCACCGTGACACATGATGTTGACCAATGTTGGGATTTTCCCCAAGCCACCAAGCTGGCTCCCTGCTCAGTGCCCATCAGGATAAAGGAATGGCTTGGCCTTGCGCGGAGGGAGGAGGACCACCCCTGCCGTCTGGCGGCTTACCGATATCCTGGTCGGTCGTGGCGATGGCTAAGAGGTTGATATTCGGCAAGCAGAGCATGTCCGTCACCCAGAGCTTCAAACTGTGGCGGCGCTTGGTTTGGTCCAACTGCAGAAGGGCGGGGGGATCAGATCAGGAAGAGAGAGAAAACTCCAGGAGGTGGACTTCATCATCTCCCGCCCCCCACAAGGAAGCATGCCGAAGCAGCTTATGAACTTTGTCTAGACTGGGTTGGACATTTGCTGTACAAAACACAATTTCTACAACGGGCTGTTCAAAGGAAGGATTTGAATTGTTTTGCTTTTTGATGAAGCCATAGGAACCATGCAGCCCCTTCCCTGATCTTTCCCATTCCTTCCCATAACTAGGGCGAAGAGAAAAAAGATGAAGCCTCATTCCTGGAAAAGTCCAAGAGCTGTGATTTTTGTTCGCTTCCATTTTTCTGTCCAGTTCTCTTTTCTAAAGCTTCTGTCTTGGGGGATGCTAAATTGCCCCCCCAGGAGGTTACGGGGGTGGGCAAAGGGCTCCATATCTTTGGGGTCCGTCCCCTCGTGCTTGAATGCAGAGGTGAGCACAGGTAACTTCCCCCTCCTGCCAAACACAGCAGCTCTGCCCCCGGGACACGCCAGAACATTATGCTCCTTTTTTAAATTCCAAAAAGGCTGCTTATCGCCTTGATTTCGGTTCATTTCTCATTTCGACAAAAGATTCGAGCTTCAGAGAGGGTGTCACTTCACCCTCTCCTCCAAAACAGACACTAGGTGGGTAGAGAGGGTTAAGGGGACCGGCCCTTGCCCAGTCAGGCCTGCCAGGATATATACGGCCGGGCATCACGGCAGGTCAGAGGGGGAGGGGAGGAGCGTTGCTGTAGTCCATGGGAACAGCATTAACATCCCCAGGGTCTCCCTTTTGCTGGACTTGGGTCTGGAGAGTCTTCACCTCATGCTGAACCAATGCAACAGGACAGGACAGGGGCTGGCAGATCGCTCTCCCTCCCAGCACCCTGAATTCCCTCACCACGGCTTCCGGGCAGCGGCCTGGCGTCCATTGCAATGACTATGGGTATTTGAAAATACAAGAAAAGCAGGACTCTTTTCCAGCCAACTATGTCCCCGGCCACCTCGCTCCACACACAGCCCTGGGATGTGTTGACCGGACCCCCCCCCCTTTTACCTGAACTGTCCGGAGCATCTTGAATGAGTCACTCCAGTAATGGAGGATCCCATCCCTGCTCACGGTGAGGAATCGCCCCGGGGGGGACCAGCCGCCCCCTTTCCTGGACCTCTCTTTCCTCTCCAGGGCCCCTCGGCTCTGGTTTGGGTAGAACTGGATCTTGACAATATCTTCCGCATGGGCCCTGGAGCAACGGGGAAAAAGAGGGGAGCATGCCCTGGGGTTACAGCCAGCACCGCCCCCCTCCAAGCTGAGTTCTTCTCTCACCAGCCAAGATGCTCTTTTGCCCTTGAGAAGCAGCCCCCCCACCGCAACCCCCCAAAGAGGAAAGGCTGTCCAGAAGTAGCCATGTTCCCTTTGAAACACAAAACCTTTTAACCTGGATTTTAAAAAAAAAAAACCTTTAATGTGATTTGCTCCCGTCATTTTAAATGCTCATGTGTAGCCTTATTGTGTATTTTACATTGCTTTGTTTATTTTCGGTTTATTTTCAAATTGTTGTTTCATGCTCTGCTGCTGTGGTTATTTGTTTTATTTCTGTTTCGTAAACTGACCAGAGCAGCCTTTAGCTGGATGGACGGTCTGTAAATGACAGACAGACAGACAGACAGACAGACAGACAGACAACATTCCCTCTTTTTCAGGGTCCAAGGTACACCTGAAAGACTTAACTGTTTCGCGTCCACAAATCATTTCAAGTGCCGTGGTGGTTCTGTTTTTCTTTTTTGCTACACATTCTTAAGAGGAAAAGATGGGTAATGATAATTAAATCTAACAGGAGCTCATCTCATCTGTGTGCCTTTGGGGATTTAGCTCGCTTTTTGTTTTGTCCAGAGGCGGCAGGGATTCAGTGGCACACCTGGCACCTTCTCCATTCCTGGAAGGGTAAAGTTGCAAAAGGAGGAAAAACCGGCATTTGACGGAACCTGGAATCTGATCCTTCCTCCTCCAAAAGAAGCATCCTTGTTTTGTGCTCCCTTCCATGAAAAATAGATTTTGAACCAGAAAAACTCACACCGAATTGGTTCCCTTTCTCTCTTTTCCCTCCCCTTCTTCCCCTTTAATTCTGCCAACAGGCTGAGAGGGACGAGAATCATCATACCCAGCTGAGAACAGCAGAACTGGAAGGGGCCCAAGAGGCCATCAAGTCCAGCCCCTTACCAAGGAGGTCCCAGTGGGGACAAACTCCCAACCTCTGGCTCTACCGCCAGAGACCTCTAAGCCACAGAGATTTCCAGGTCCAAAGGCAAAAAGGGCCAAGTCTCGTTTGCCTTCTTGTCTGCGAAGGGGACAGGACGGGAGGGACTGCCGAGATTCCCGTGTGGAATCTGAGCCTGGCCTTCGCCCTCCCTTCTTGCTCACGGCACGAAGACAGAAGAGGGCCTTACACTGGAATGCGCTTCATGTTGGGCTGGAACTCAGGGAGCAACTTGCTTTTCTGCATGTCGTCTTTGCCTCGGTATTCACGCAGCATGTAGTTCAGGTATTCTTCCTGCAGGTCGGGTGGAGCAGAGAGAAGACTAAGTTGCCATTGCTCTTGTTACGTCATCTCTTTTCTGCATGGAAGAACACCCCCTTGCACATGAGGATTTCCCAACGGGTGGCTACAATCCTGTTGCTTCGTGCAGTAAACCAGTCCTCAAGGAAGCCCATTGAACCAGTGGGGAATTTGGCGAGTCAGCTCCTCTCTAAGTTCCACCAATTCCATCAGCCTACTCTAGTTGTGACTTGCAATGCTAAGCAACAGGATTTCAGCCAGTGACTCAAATGCAGAGAAGACCAGGGGCTGCAGCAAGCAACTACGTGGGAGAAAGAGAGCTAAAATGTCACAGGGGAAAGGTGTCACTGCAGAAGACACATCTCTTCATTTCCCTTCATTGCACATTGCGCATACTGTCTCTTGGTCTGTGTATATGTTACACAGAAGCAAAGAAGCAAAACACAATCCCACCCAGCCATGGGCAGGTCATTCAGTCGCCCAAGAATCAGGCCCATCAGTCGAAAAAAACAGAGGCTGAAATCTGGTTGCTTTCTTCTGCTTATGGAGGGCAATGAGCAGAATTTCAGTCACCTTTTTGCTGTCAATTAATGAGTCCCCACTGGGATTCTCAGAGGAGGGGGAGACATGCAGGCTCAGGAATCCCAGCAGTGACCCATTAATTGCCAACAAAAAGTGACTAATGTTGCACCACCGTTTGCCCTCAGTATGCACAACAAAAGAAAATAACAAATTCTTAGCCCTCATAGCTGTAAAGTTATGCTTGATAATGTGTGGTGACTACATGCAAGGAGCCATAGGGTGGCCAAGAGAGGTTTTCAGCTGGTGAGGGCTAGAGATGCATCACCCTATACAACTCCTGGGAAATAGAAGGGGAAGATATGGAGGCAGTGACAGGTTTTACTTTCTTGGGCTCCCTGATCACTACAGATGGGGGCAGCAGTCATGAAATTAAAAGACGCCCGCTTCTTCAGAGGAAAGCGATGACAAACCTAGACAGCATCTTTGACTTTGCTAGTCAAAGATCATGGAAGCAATTGTATTTTGTTGTTGTTTAGTCAACAAGCATAGTCAAAGCTATGGTTTTTCCAGTAGTGATGTATGAAAGTGAGAGCTGGACCATAAAGAAAGCTGACCACCAAAGAATTGATGCTTTTGAATTGTGGTGCTGGAGGAGGCTCTTGAGAGTCCTCTGGACTGCAAGGAGAACAAACCTATCTTTCTTCTAAAGTAACATAAGTTACTGTCAAGAAATGTCTAGGTAATTCAATAAGCTCTGAGGATGGAGGGCAGGGAGGTCTCTCATCCAAAACAGAAACCTTACCCAGTCCACAGCACCATCGCAGTTGATGTCCACCTTCATGAAAATGACATCGATATCTTCATCGGAAATATTCCCCATGATCTTCTTCATGGCCTTTCGGAATTCTTCCATATCCAATCCTAAAAAACAAAAAATAAAAATAAATAAAGGTCACCAGAGACTCCTCTGAAATTTTTGAGATCTGATGACATACAGCCAGGGCTAGGGAGAGCATCTGGGGTTTCCGAGTAGCAGGAGGGGTGTGAAGGCTCCAACGCTCAGAGGCCTTCAAGAGTCAACCCTCGGTCCAATCTGCTTGGGCTTGGATTCCTGCCTTCAGCAGGGGGTTGGACTGGATGGTCTTAGAGGCCCCTTCCAACTCTACTATTCTATGATTCTCTGTTCCCCTGGAGATTTGTGGAGGGGTATGCCTGTTAGTAAATGGCTGCTAATCATCCCGATGAAACCGTTAAATTTTGCAGCATGCTTTATGGAGTAGTCCCTCTTAGCTGAATAAAAAGAATGGCTGCCAACCCAGCCCCTCACCTCCTCCACCATCGATGTCCGCTTCACGGAACATGCGCTCCAGTTTCCGTAGATGGTCATAGTTGATCTGGTCTTCCACCTGCTTGCAGCGAGCTTCATCATGGGACTCGGCGATCTTCATGAGTTGCTTATGGGATGAGCAGAGGCGACCCACCTTGCTCAGAAGACCAGGGAACTTGGGCTGAAAAGTAAAGTGGGTCATGTAGGGACATCCCTGCATCTACCTCTATGGCCTTTGCCTTTCCCAACTCTCCTGAGCATGGGGCATTTGAACACCAGCCTTTTCATAGTATCAGGTTTACAAAGGTTGCGTAACCCTTATTCATTCAGCCCAAAGGGATCGGACTAAGAAGAGTGCTATGAATAAGAGATTTGAATCAGAAAGAGCTGGAGAGCTGAAGAGGCCAGATTTGCTGTCGCCACTTAGTCTGCTAAGGCCTTTGCCAACTTGGTCTAGGTATAATCCCCATATGTTTCTGTGGGAAGGGTTGCTCCACATAGTGAATTCATGTGTATGCAAGTGAATTGATAATTTATTCTAGGGGGTTGAAGACTCTGCATATGGCACTGATTCTTCTCTGTTAATAATACCCAGCCCAGCTGTAGAATGCCTGGATTTTCTGTCTGAATCAGAATTCAAAGAGACACTTAAATTTTCCAGTTCTACAGGCAACTTCTGTATTGGTGCTGTAACATTTTGTTATTGTTATAATTGCTCATGTTGTTTGTTATATAACTGTGAATAAGGCTCGTTTTGTGAAACTTTGTTTGCAAGCTTCATCAATAGATATGGAAGTAAACAAATAGCCCCATATACAAATGTTATAGTACTGTAGTTCCTAACCTTGCAGACACAATGAGTCTTTAAAACAGAGGTGGCCATTTCATAGACCTCCAGAGGTTGTTGAATGGCAACCCATCATCCTTCACCTGGGCTATCCTGGTAAGAGCCGTACAGGAATCTCTGGAGGGTTGGAGGTAGCCCACCAGTCTTTAAACCAACGCTATCTCCCTCCCACCCAAAAACCAGCATGAAACCCACTTCATAACATGGTTGGGGCATGTAAACATACATGCATACATGTATATTCATGTACCTATGCAGGGGTCAAGTTGGATGCAACTTTAACTTGTTTAGTTTAGAATTACATATCCCTATTCCATTGGCATTCCTGCCTTGAGCAGCGGGTTGGGCTCGGTGGCCTCATAAGCCCCTTCCAACTCAATTATTCTGTGACAGAATGTTTTAAGAAAGAAGCAAGGGACAAGCCAATAAACCCACTCCGATTCCAAACCTTTTTTTGGAAAGAGTTAAGTCTGGCTGAAGTAGAACAGGAGCACCACGATGCAGCTGAGCCCGAGTCCCCCATGCATCGGAAAGGACCCAGCCGGAATTCCAGATGTGGGTTCAAGAACAGAAGCTAGCTTCACCCAGCAGCTGTAGAAAGTGCGGCGAACCCTCTTCACCTCCCAGCTTCTGTTGCTTTTCCACCAACTACACTCAGATTGGCAAACGTGAGTTTCTCGCCAGTCCTCACTCAAGCGTATCTAAGCAGGTTCACTTGCAGAGAGATATGGCCTTGGCTTTTTTAAAAAAATAAAACTGGCCATGCTGAGTGAGGCATTACAGGAACAGTTGCCCAAAAAAGGCAACGGTTGCCGTCTCTCTTCATCAGCTAGCATACCTGCCAGGCCATCAAATGCTTCGTAGCGAGGATCCTCCAATTAGCCAGGAGCGAGCTGTTTGCTGTTCAGCAATCAGGCGACAGAGTGGAAGCCCCATTGAACTGTGTGGCCCTTGACTCTGAGTAGACCTACTTACCCAGAAGGGCACCACCTATGGACCCTTCCACACTCGAGCATTTGTTCCACCTTGTTTTGCCTCCATTTCATTTCATTGGACATGATTTTGAGCAGTGGTCCCCAACCTCGGGCCTCCAGATGTTCTTGGACTACCACTCCCAGAAGCCTTCACCACCACCTCTGCTGGCCAGGATTTCTGGGAGTTGAAGTCCAAGAACATCTGGAAGCCCAAGATTGGGGATCAATGATTTTGAGCAAAAACCCAAGCCAGAGGCAGAGACCTTCCTCTTCAAGCTAGCTTTCCCTTCAGTGACCGGCTGCCTGAGTGGATTTTCTAAATGGATTGTTAAATGTTGATTGTGTTTTAATATTGCTTTTGTTTACAATTTCTCAGAGTGGGATTTGTTTGTTCTTTTTAAATATTTGCATACCTATTGCTTTTAGCTTTAGATACTGTCTTTCAATCAAATAAGCCACCTCGGGTCCCTTTTTAAGGAGAAAGGCAGGGGCAAAGATATTTTAAATAAAGAAATAAGCCCTGTCATCCCAGCCCTCATCTGGGTTTATAAATGTTTCAGTTATTCCCTTTTCCTGATTCTCCAGCTGCAGAAGGCCAGATGTTTTATTTCATCCATGCCCTAGCAGCAACGTATCTACCAAGTTTAAAGAGGAGCACGTGGGGCTAGATGACATTAGTTGAGACTCTGAAAAGCAACGGCAAAACAGCCTTTCAAAGGATCAGAACCTGCCACATGCCAGAAAAAGGACTTAAAACAATTCAAGCCCAAACCAGCCGGAGCTGCAAAGACAACTGATTTTAAAAGCCGATGAGCAGCTGTTGCATATGCAGGACTGCAGTGGCCACATCTGGTACAGGATAATCTTGCTGCCATATTTATGATGCATTGTCATCTGCATTGGCCACTCTGAATGCCACATTTAAACACTTTTAGGCATATAGTTCTGTTTGTCTGTTGCCACAAAAACAACAAGACTCAGGGACATCTTGCAGCAAGAGTTGTCAAGCTGTGACCCCTCCAGAATATGATTCAACTTCAACACCCAGAAGTCTCAGTCTGTGCAACTAATATTAAAAATGGTGGACCCTGGACATTTTGTGGTGAGGTGCGCCATGTTAATTGGGCACCTTGATAGCCTTTCTCGTGTGATTTAATATGACTTTCCATCCCATAATGGTTGTTTACTCACTGTGGGTGGTATCCCTGGGGGATGCGGTCCAGAAAGTTCTCCTTCAGAGTCGGAGCCTCCCCTGCGTAAGAATCCAAAGCCGACAGCAACTTTTAATTTCTTTCACAGACAGCATTTCTAACCTTCAACTGACCAAACGAAAAGAGAAATGATAAACCCCGAAGGAATAGATAAGAGTTAGGGTTTTAGCTGATATTTGGCCTCCATAAGATGGAAAGGGTGAACTCAGATAGTTTGCTTGCACCTGGCTTGATTTTTTTTTTCTTTGCAAAATGGAAATAACCACAAGCATCAAAGTTGTAGATGTAGAAAGCATAGCCATGTTAGTCTAGGAAAGCGTCACAGGTAATAACAAAAGTTTTAAAAAAGACAAAAACATGTTGGCCCCTTAAAGATTTGTATTTTTTAATGTGAGTTTTCATGGGTAACTTAATTTCAGCACAAGCACCCCTGAAAAACCTGCCTATCAAACATGCTATCATCATCATGCTTCAGAAAGACAAAAACATATTGTCCCCTTAAAGACTAACTTTTGTATTTTTTTAATGTGAGTTTTCATCGGCAACTTAATTTCAACACAAGCACCCCTGAAAAACATGCTTATCAAACATGCTATCATCATCATGCTTCACACCACTAACTTCCTTACCTTTTGATGTCTACCTATACGTTTATGCCATGTATAAATATTTGCCATGTTGTATCTCTTTCTCTCATGCCTGATGAAATGGATTTCTCCATGAAAGCTCACATTAAAAGAATATAACAGTTAGTCTGTAAGGGTCCATCATGTTTTTGTCTTTTAAAATACTTTCCCTGTTTTATTTTCACCTATAAAGCATCAAAGTGTTATTTAAGGGGACTTCTGCTGCCCATCACCCTCTGAATGTATTTGAACATTATTCCCGTTGCATGGTCAATGGTCACAATCCGCCATGTACTGTAAATTTGTCCACACCCGGTGCATACCAGAGAAAAGGCTGGGCCAAGAGGTTAGTTTACAGTTTTAAACTCTTTCAGTCTCCACAGTTGATGGTCACAATCCGCCATATAAATTTGTCCACACCAGGTGCACACCAGAGAAAAGGCTGGGCCAAGAGTTCAGTTTACAGTTTTAAACTCTTTTTCACGAATTGAATTTCTGATTGGTCTCTGGGAAAAACAGGATAGTGGAACAGCAAGCCTGATCCGGGGGGGACTCTTCTTACAACTGAAACACATTTTCAAATGGCAGAGTTCAAACACCAGCTTTGTTCAATGAAGGAAGAGATACTACGTACTTCTAAGACTGTCCTTGACAAGACACAGAGATGTTCCACCTATAAAGGCAAAGAACATGCCCTTCCCTTCCTTCAAAGTCACAGTCTTAGCCTTATGCAACTAAATGGTCCCATAAAGTTGCGAAGCAACACTTATTATGACAAAGATAGTTTCTCAACTGGTCTCCAGATCTTCTTGGACTACAACTCATACTACGTACTTCTAAGACTGTCCTTGACAAGACACAGAGATGTTCCACCTATAAAGGCAAAGAACATGCCCTTCCCTTCCTTCAAAGTCACAGTCTTAGCCTTATGCAACTAAATGGTCCCATAAAGTTGCGAAGCAACACTTATTATGACAAAGATAGTTTCTCAACTGGTCTCCAGATCTTCTTGGACTACAACTCCCAGAAGTCTCTGTAAATGGTCCCATACAGTTGCGAAGCAACACTTATCATAACAAGGATAGTTTCTCAGCTGGTCCCCAGATCTTCTTGGACTACGACTCCCAGAAGTCTTTGCTACTAACTATTCTGAATAGGATTTCTGGGAGCTATAATCCAAGAACACAAGGTTGGGAACCACTGCTCTAGATATTACATAGGTTGATTGGTATCAGCCTTGTATCATGTGGGGTTGGAAGGCTTCGGGTTTTGGATTCCCTTCTCCAGCTCTCCGAGTTTGGCTATGAAATCTAAGGAAACGGGAAGTTGGCCGTGGAGCAACAATCCTCCTTTTCTCATGGCTTCGGGTCATGCTGTTTAGACATGCTCAGAAGCACCCTCATATTCCCCCCACACACACACTGTTTAAGAGCCTGTGCCCATGGAAGCCACAAGTTAGGGAAGTCATCCTAATTTTGCAACTGTTCCTTAAATGCCAGCGTGGAGCATCTCCAGGAACAGGATGCTCCCGAGCCGGCATCAATCACTGCAAGGTTGCAACCACCAACTGCAAAGACTGAGGGGAGGACCATGACAGGAAGCAGAGGCAAACGAGCTGTGAGGAGGGTGAGGGAGCCTCCAGAAAGCAGGCCGGCGAGGGTGGCTCTTGCGTCCTTGAGGGGAAGGCTTCATTGAAGAGGACAGGGTTTGTTTTCTTTGCCAGCTGAAGCCCCACAGCCCTGCAGAGCGTTATCAAAACACCAATCTCCAGGCAACGGGTCCAGGGGGAGCCTGGAGGCCCAGCTCTCTCGGGGTTCCTCGGAGCAACGAGATTCTTCGGCACACCAAGGGACGAGCAGCCGCCGAGGGCCAAGGAAGGAGATGAAATGGGTTACTCCTCTCATTCACCTGAGAAGCCTGGGGACTCAAGTTTCCATGCACAGTGTGGGGAGATGGGAGGGATTGATCCTCCCGGGGGTGGGGGGGTGGCTTCTCTGTCCCATACATGTCGAGAGGTATGACCTATCGAGGTTTCACTGTAAACCAACAGCCTCAGGAGGTGTGCAAGAGAAGCATCGCTACCATCGGCAGATTTAATGGCCGTGAAAAGCAGAGGACGGGAGAGGCGGTTGGCCAACCCAATTAGCAACGGCCATCACAAAGCGAACCAGAAAGATGAAGCGGTGTGGGAAGAGGGGAGGATGGCCGGGACAAATTGTGGAAAGGCTGATCACAGAGCAGCCAGAAGGCAGGCAGAGAGGACAAGCGTCGTAAGAAAAGGCCTACATGTTCAAAGCTGATGCACGAAGGCAGGGAAAGGGAAGGGAGGCGGCTGATGGCATTAAATCAGCAGGGGAAACATTATAACAGCCTTTTAAAGCATGCCTACCGCTGAGAAAGGAAAAGGGCACCTCCTTAATGGAGTCCTTCAGGAGAACACTAGGATTCCTCCCAAAATCAGCAAGATCCCGGAAAAATCTGAAGCCAGTTTGCTAAAGGCGTTCACTGCCGCCCGGGAGCGTGTAGGATCGCCACTCAAGGCAAGGAGCCTTCACCACTTTGGCCAGTAAAACTGTTTTCTCTCAGGCAGCCGTTAAATCTGAAAAGCCGGTAAACTCCGAAGTTCCGTTTGCCCCCCTCCCTCCTGGCTCTGTCCCTGAAGTCCACCTGGTCTTCCTTAAGCTTCCATTCCCATCTGACCAATCTGCATCCACCCAGGAACCTAGCTGGTCATGTCTGAGTTGGCATCCCTAATTCCCACAAGACAGGCAGGTTGGTAGAGGCGGCCATTGTCCCATAAAAAGCAGAAGATCCATGGGGAGCCGGAGCAGAGGCCCATCCAGGCTCACTGTCTCATTCCCAAAGGAACCAACCGGACTCCTTGTTCAGCCTCCGGCATCTCTGGTGAAAAGACCAGGGGGTAGGTGAAGGAAAAGACCACCGGACATCACATTCATCGCAAGAAAGACGAAGGGATGGTCGCAAAACGAGGCAGCTCCGTGTGGCAAGTTACGGCTCAAACTTTTGCCCCTGCAGCTTTGTGGAGGAGCCAGGGACAAGGGCTAACTACTCAAGAGTAAGCCTCAACAGCCCAGCACACTCACTGCTGTACAATAAAGGACTTGTCTGCTATTGGGCAGTTGAGAAGAAGAGAGGTGACGGAAGGAGCTAAGCAGAAAGAAATTCTCCCTGACACAAGGCCGTAATTTGTGGTGGTGACGGTAAAGGAAATGTGTATGCCTCTGCACATGTTTTTTTGGGGGTTTTTGCACATTTCTGTAAAATGCACAGCACTGGGAAAGGCATTAATTGTTGGCTTCTTGCATGAACTGTGATGTTTTTCTTTCTTTATTCATTCATAATAAAGTGTTGCACAATTATGGTTGCATATGAAATTTAAGGGAAATGAAAAACAAATTAAAATGTGAAGATAATGAGGGTGTTGTTGTTTTTTACCAGAAGTGGCCAGAGTTTGAGAACCATACAGATAACGTTTTTCCTGATTTTAGCAGTCATCCAAGGGGTTGGTGTCCATAACGTGGATGGGTTGGGTTTCTGCTCCGAAGCCATGCCCCATCAATGTCCTACTGGAGCAAAGGTCCCCCGAAAGAAGGGGGTTCCGTCTCCCCCATGTTGTCTTGGCCCGTCCTGAGACAACCGGCCTCACCTAGAACCTTGGTTCCAGCAGGATTTCTCCATATGCCCCCAAAGTCTCATGCAGAGTTTACTTCCTGAGGTATCAACTAAATGGAGCTTCGGAGGACAGGGTCCAGCGCTTCCCGTGCTCATAAGCCATCCAACGCTGCAGTGTGTTCTGCAGAACTGTGCGAGAGCATCTGAGGCTTTGTGCAGTCACACACTTTCTCTTCTCCAGCAAAAATGGAGGGCACCCCTCCTTCATCTTCTTGCAAAGAGGCAGACACACACTCCTTTGTTATGGCATTGCGGCAGGCTTCCCCCTGCAGCCTGAATTATTAATTATGCCTAATTACTCCTCAGTCCTGTGCTAATTTCCAGAAGGCTACCCAGGTTAGCTGCAAGAACAACCGAGTCTTGTGACAGATCAGAATATATACAAGGCCAGCACAGAGCGCAACAACCGTTTGTCCCGTTCCGCTCTCAACAATGGTGGGGGACCTACCGGGGGCAGGACGCGGTGCATGGAGGAGCTACGCACCGTCTGCCCGCCAGCCAGGAGCACCCACTGCATGCCCTGCACCATCGCCCCAGGCCGGCCTCACCCTCGCAACCCCAATGGCTCCCAGCCAGCACCTGCTGGCTGCTCCATCCCCCCCCTCTTCATGGGGGCCAATACAGACAGCAGGCCCTGGGCAAAATTCCAGCTTTGCCCTTCGAAAAAAAGGGGCCCTGGGGGCCAACCAGCATTGCACACTCACATAACACGAGTGCAACAGCGCTCTTCTGCTTGTGCTCTCCGGATGGTGTTGATGGGCATTAAGAGAGAGACGGCCTCTGAGACTTAAGGGAGCCGCATCTTATCTATGATGCCTACCCATCACAGCTTGCTGCAATTGTTTTATATAAATGTGAAAAGGCACACAGGGAGGACTGTGTCCTCTGGCACCCCCGTAGCACAACTGCAAAGGGGGTTGAAACACAACCTCCCCCCAACGCCTCGCCTCCTACAGGTGGCAACAGCACCTTAAGCCCAGGGCTTCCTACCCAACCAAGCCCAGGGAACCCATCTGGGAGCAGAGAGCCCAACTGGTCACATCAAGAGCTGCCAAGGCAGCATGGAGACCAGCGCTTCCCCATAACTGGGCAGGAGGTGTCAAACACTTCTTTGTTTCAGAAGAGCTTTTTCTAGAAGTGGCCGTGTTATCTTTGAAAGCAGGACAGCCATTAACCACTTCCTGGCTTGATTCCTCCCTACATACAGCTAGTCCCAAGAAGCTAAGATGGGCATCAGCTAGCCATATACCAACAGACTGCCATCCCGACACTAAACACAAACACACACACACACAATACCTAAATAGGAAGTTGCTTTGGAACCTGTTCAGGACCCATCGCAAGCTTGGTATCAAAATCACTACAGATTCAGTTTTGTCCTCATTCATCCTAGCATGCCGTTGAGAGTTCTGCCCTACTATTTACTGAAGCAAATGAAGACAAGCCGTAGGACGCCTGAAAGGGGGCAGCTGTTTGAAGAAGTGACAGCATCACCAAGGAAAGCCTTCTTATGGGCTCTTTGGAGTGTCCTGTCGACTCCTTACCAGGTCTACCGCCATCCATGGTCTATCCTTCTGGTGTCTTATCCCCAGAAGCTCTGCATTAAACAACTTGGGACTATTCAGGATGCCCGTCCCCTCTCCTTTGTCATGTTTGCACTGAGTGACCATCTTGACCAACACCTCTCACGACTACCTAGGCACAGGCCAGATGGCTACCCCAGGCAGCCACAGGCAAAACATTGAGGAAGTTGGTTCAAGGGCATAAGCGGAGTCTTTAAAGATGGGGAACTTCTGGGCTTCCAGCTGACTGCAACCAGTTCCCATCAGCCACGGTCAGCATAGCCCATGTACAGGGAAAGATAGCTCTGGAGCTAATTTCCCCAGCCTTGCAACTAAAGAGATAGCAACCGTTGACTTTTATGACACTCTCAACATAGATGGTGCTTCAAAGAAAGTAACAAAGCAGATGGCGCCCAACTTTCAAGCAGCTTACAAGGTATGCATGTGTAGAACAGCTGAAAGCTTCTGTGACCTTCTGCAACTCACATCACTGCTAACCAGCATTGCCAATGATGGAAAATCAAGGGAACTGCAGCCAAACAGCATGGGGAATGTCAGCCTTCTCTGCCCAGATGTAAATATTTGAAGCTACCACCAGACAGATGAGTCTAAACTGCGTGGTACCTTGCTTCCCTGAAAATAAGCCATAGGAGGATTTTTCAGGATGCTCGTCATAGAAGTCCCAGTTAAGTGAAAACCTGCCCTCCACCCTTGTGCAGCACTGAGCAGCAATCAGAAGACGACATGACTATAAAATAAAACATCCTCTGAAAATAAGCCCTAATGTGTTTTTTGGAGCAAAAATTAATATAAGCCCCTATCTTGTTTTCGGGGAAACAATGGTAGTAACACAGACTGGAATTCTTCCCATCCAGAGGGAGACAAGCATCCAACGGCAGGGAATCTTTCTGCTCCTTGTCAGTCCTGTGATGAAGGACCACTTCATGGTTCACCGTCAGGCACCGCTCTTCTGCTTTGGTTGTACGGATGCCATTTGCCGGTGGTCGGGGGGCAGCACAGCACACCGGAAAGAGATAACATGGCCCGACCACCCGGCAACTCACCAGGTCACGGAAGGATGGATGCTCAGTCTCCGGGGCGTACTGATCCTCGAGCTCGTCAGCGAGCTCCCCAGGGAGTCGGGGGCTCTCTTGGGACCAGCCGAGAGACCTTCTGAGTGCAACGCCGGATGCATTTTGAGCCTAGGGTGACCGATGACCCAGGGCAGAAATACACTGGAGAGTATCCACCCTTGAGAGCACCAGCAAACTCAACTGTGATGTCAAGGTGTGGAATAATGACCTCACGACACAGAACGTCTGGAAGCTGACCCCCCCCCCC